GTCACGTATTTATTTGATTAGAGGTATATAACACATGAAGAAATAATCGTAGCTGAATTCAAAACCTTTCTTTTCTTGAAAGGAATTTGAAGGTACTAGTAGTCAAAATAGAGGATAAATCAGCATCTATTTCATACTGAGTTTCTCAGAAGAACTGGGTTATTTCACTCAAAGTAATAAAGATTGTAAATTTTATGACTCACATAAATGTGAAAAATTACTTTTATTTGCTAGAGTTCTTGTATTATTAGTTTAATATATTAACATGTAAACAAGGACTTGTTTTATATGTAAAGTTCAGTAACCTTCAAGATAATGACGATTGCTTAAAAGATTATATTTTCTGTCGATTAATTATTTTTTATATTCTTTTAAAGCACATATACCGTTTAATTGTTAAAATATCAAAACAAAATATTTCCTAAACAACGCAATTCCATTGAAGAGAATTCTGTTTACAAATATGAATTCAACGCCAGAGACAGAAATGTTACAGTTGTTTTTCTGACAAAGGGCTAGGTTAGTACACAAAGAACCAGGATAATTGTACCATTAAAAAGAGTATGTCAATGTAAACTATTATTATGATATTTGATACATGTTTGTTTGACGTGTTTACTATTAGTTAATTGAAACGTGTATTCAAAACGTAGAAATGTATATTGGATAAATAATCATTAACAGTACTGTGTAAGATAAGATTGTTTGTTTGGAAAAATCATTTACAGCAAATACTGGCCAATCCCTTTGCAGAAGCTCACGCAGACACGTGAACTAGTAAGAATGAACTTTTACCAGACAAATCTATCAAAGTGTCATTTATTGAAGAAACCTTCGAAATTCCCCATGGAGGACTGTTTGACCCTTAGCTAGTGATCTTATACACAAATTAAGTTACAAAAAATGGTATTAATGCAGTATAAATAAATTCTAATCATAAATGTAACATTTGGATAAAACATATTAATAATGACATGGATGGCACAAACGTTAGAGCTTAAAAATTCATTGAAATTAATGCTAGTTTATAAACTAAAAATTATAAATGATGTATTTTGTACAAGTATTCATAGGAAATATGTACATGTGCATGTAATTTGGAGGAAAATGTTCAGTTTAATCTTTAAATGTAATTTGTATGAAACGACCAAATTTCTGAATAGGCAACCACGTGTAACATAGCGAGGAAATCAAGTCCTAAGGGAAAACAATATGGACGAGATATGTAATCACAAATAATAATAATAATAATATGATAATACGACTTTCTTCATAATTCAAAGAAAAAGACAAAATTATTATCAGATTATAATAATTCCTCCAATGCCCTTGGCATTGCTAAACACGCAGTATATAAAACAAGGAGATAAGTCAAATTCGACAGTGATTTGTGAAGTTCAACATAAAACCAAATACCCAGCAATGCCAAACCCCAAAACAAAAGAATGATAGACAAGGAAAATTGTATGAAGATCTGAACATTTTTATCTACCTGAGCTGAAGGCTCTCGTGAGCTTTTCTGATCAAGATTTGACCGTTATCGTTCGTCGTCGTTGTAAACTTTTCACAATTTCGAATTATTCTCAAGAACCAGCGGGCCAATTTCAACCAATCTTGCCACAAAGCATCCTTGGGTGAAGGGGATTTAAGTTTGCTCACAGGAAGTACCACGCCCTCTTTCAAGGGGAGATAATTAAGAATTCATGAAAATTTAGTGGCATCTTTTATAAATCTTCTTCTCAAGAACCACTGGAACGTATGTGAAATCTTCATTACATACCCTAGATTCAAGTTTGTTTATATCATAAGTCCCGGGGGGTAGGGCAAAACCACAAGAAGGGGTCAAAGTTTTCTATAGTAAAATATACGCAATGTCTTTAAAAATCTTGTTCTCAAGAACAGCTAAGCCATTATTAGTCATATTAATATATAAGTATCCTCAAGTAGTGTAGATTGAATTTTGTTCAAATTATGATCCCTGGGAGTTGGGCGCAGACATAACAGGGGGCCAAAGTTTTAAATACATTGTAGGAATATATAGGAAATATCTTTAAAAAAATTTCTTCTCAAGAACAGCAAAGCCATTATTAGTCCTATTAATATTGAAGTATCCTCAGGTAGTGTAGATTTAAGTTTGTTCTAATCATGACTCCGGGGGTAGGGCGAGGCCACAACAGTGGGTCAAAGTTTTACATAGGAATATATAGAAAATACTCTTCTCAAGAACAACTCAGCCATTATTACTCATATTTAAACAGAAGCAACCTTGGGTATTGTAGAATCAAGTTTGTTCAAATCATAAGCCCCGGGGGTAGAGGGGACACAGCAGAGGGTCAAAGCATGAGAATATAAAGGAAGCATCTTGAAAAAATCTTCTGCTCAAGAACAGCAAGCCATGATTAGTCATATTATTATAGAAGCATCCTCAGGTAGTGTAGATTCAAGTTTGTTCCAATCATGACCCCCTGGGGGTAGGACAGGGCCACAACAGGTGAGCGATGTGGTCCATGGGCCTCTTGTTTAAGGACCCTCTCTACACTGCACCCTAATTTTAGGGTACTTTTGTGTAATTAGACAGACCCATAATTTGAAACACAAAAGAAATAAATTAAAATCTGCATTCTATGACATAATTTAAAATAAATCCAAGTATTCTACACATTATATTATACGAAAGCCGGATAAGCTCATTTTTGACAAGATAAAAAAATATTTAACTCGTTATAACGAGATAGTTATCTCGTTATAACGAGTTAGTATCTCGTTATAACGAGTTACCGGGTAAATTTACCTCCGCAAGGAATGCTGAAACTGTGTGCTATACAATAATAAAATTGGATTTCTTTCGCAAAATCATAAGCGTTAAAGTAAAATTTTATATGAGAGAACGATGATCATGAACGTTAATATGGCTCTGAGACAAAAACAAGGGGAGATCTAACACCTTGAAAAGTTCATCTAATCTACTATACATGCATATACATGTACCATTTTCTTTTATCTGGTCTACAATTCTGTTGTATGCCTTTGTACACCAATTTACCTATCTAGTTTGGGGGGGGGGGGGGGGTTATACCAAAATTAACATTTAACAAGCAATAACTCTATATATAACAATAGGCATCATTGTTGTTTCTAATAATTTTATCTTTTGACCAATCGCCATATTCAAAATACATAGCACAAATACTTATAAAACCACTTACTACTTTATATATAAGGAAATAAAAAAATGAAACCGTATGAAAACACAACAGACATAGAAATAAAAACCTTTCGTTGCGTCAGACATCTTGTTACAAGTGTATTGTAAATCTTTAACGTTAAATTGTTAAAGAATTAGAAACTACACCCTTGGCAAATAATAATTATAAAGTGCAACTGAAATGTTTCCTCATTGAGTATGCGTGGAACAGCTTATGAGATAATTGAATACCGGTATCTAATTTATAATCTATAGAGCACATGAATTTCTCCACATGATAAAAAAAAATTATACTTGAGAATGTATCCAAACCCATAGACTGCATTTTATTCCATCGACCACACTATTTTAATAAGCATTCCATATATAAAAAAATGTTTAATGCTCAGGGGTTTTTTTTCGATTTAAAATATCATAAAGTCTATTCTTTTATTTTGCTATAACTTAAACATTTCTTCAATAGATTGACACTCTTCGCATTAAAAAAGTTAAAATCTAGAATATTTTAGATACATGTAAAAACTTGGAACAGTCATAAAAACTTGAAAAGAAAATAATTCATATGCGTGACCATGCTATTATTTATCTCCTTTCATAAAGCTGTGAGAGCGATATTAAAGAAGTGCTCAGGAAAGTTTTAGACGAAGAAGAGTACACTATCGGTTAGACTGTTTGACTGTAATTTAAATCGCTAGGGTCTTCTTAAAGTACTATTTACAAGTTCTCGGGTTCATAGGGTCAGACGCACTCCACAGAAGACCATCGAGTTCAAAAAGAGGCTATCATTATTTTATTCTGCAGGGGTGATCAAAGTTTAACAAGCGATATACGTGCATGAAAATAATTCGTAACATTGGCGTAATTTAAACCTTTATCAAAACCTTTCAAACTCCGTCTGTACCTGTATATTTTCGAATTGTAGATGGCAATTCGATGATAATTTCCATTTTTACAAATAGAATTTGCGATTTATAAACACAGTGTTCTTTTTGGAGAATATACTAAATCACTGTCTTCCCTTTCATTAACATGATTAATGGTATACATGTATTTGTATCGTTTTATCGTTAGTGGACAATATTTTTTACAATAATGTAATATTCTCCAATGAACTGTATACTATTCTCTTTAGAGAAGTAGACAGACTTTCGCCTACATCCACTATATGTATATATACAAGCTCACGGACTAGGAAGATCACAATGATTTCGTGTCACTTCCCTAGTGGACGTTGGATCTTTATTTGGCTTACATATGGTGGTTGATTAATGATAAAATCATAATATACAATCATTATAAAATGGATGCTGCTACGATAATATGTATATTGTAGATTTATATCATTAATGCACTATAGGTTTACGCAGTATTGATAACGAGATATTTATACCGACTTATAACAAGCAAGCTATACACATATACTATTCAATTCATTGTGTAAAACAACAAAATATAACAATATCAAATAAAAATACATGTGTACATGATGCAAGAGTGTACAGTTTTCATTAACCTGAAAAGGTAACTCTCTTATTAACTATAGGCCTATATCAATTGATGAATTTGCTAAGGTTATTGATGACGGAAACCGTTTTTCATGAAAATAAATTATAAAACTATAGTACATGTATTAACCATCTTGATATTTTAAGGGTTTTTTTTTTTTAAAGATCTTTGTCAATCATTCATTGATATGAGGAAGTTCCGGTGTATTTTCTACAATTCGTGAAAATCGGGGAAAACCTTGAAACTATTTTGGAATTAAAAAAAACGTTTTTCGATATCAATTCGAGCTACACAAAGCGAAAGTATAACATAAGAATCAAGATGCGCCTCCAAGTTTGGTGGAAAAAGGAGAAATCGTCACTCCAAGAGGAAAATGTTTCTGACGGTGATTGTGAAAAACTGATGTCGGACACAGACAAAGAAAATTCTGAAAGGAAACATTTTTGTCAAGATTTGGTTGTTATATTGTTTTTGTGTTTTTCTCTTTGTGTGTCTTGCCTCGAACTGAAACTCATTTTTTCAGTTTTGCGAAAAATTCAACAATTGGAGCCAGAGAGTAATTTTTCTGCTTCTTGTGATGGACAATTAAAATTCCCCTCCGTGGATTCAAATAAAATCCTTGTTTCATTGGTGAGACAATATTTTTGAACCTACTTTCGTTTTGCACGAAAGAATAGATTTGAAAATGGAATCGCTTTTTTTTCTCACAGGCGGTATACTATTTATCATATTGAATATTTAAAGACTTAATTGTAATTTATTCAAACAACATAAAGCTCATATATACTATATTTACAGAAATGGCAAGCACAGTACGTCACGCTACATTTTTTGGAAACTATGTATTATAAAAGAATAATTCCGAAAATTATGCTGAGAGATAACTTATTTTTAAGTGTTATGAATCATTCATTGTTGAGCAAAGGGGAGGGGATTAGAAAATGAACGGAAACCTCTCCGAGAGGTTCCGACGGGTATTTCTGCTAAGTTACCCATTTTTAAAGATTTCATACGATCATTGAACTTAGAAAATGTTGTTTCTTTAATCCTAGTGCGTTAGAAATATATTTCCTCTCAAGTGGAAATTTGAAGATATCAATAGACCGACTGCATTGTATCAAATTAGGTGGACAATGTCATATTTCAATAGGGAATTTTCTAGTTATACTGACGCGTGTGTATATATATTTAGGATGGAGGAAAATTTTATTTTAAGAAAGATATCTGATTTATTGCAATCTTATTTAGGGCCGAGAAGGGAAAAACTCATAGATCTGCATAATAGAGTTATAAACAATTTGTTCTATGATATGATGTGTATACATTTACTCAAACATTTGAGACAATTAAGCTCCAAATAAAGCATTACGTTCATTTTTATTTTTGGATCAAAGAAGTTTTATAATATAGTGAACATTTTATTAATTTCTCTTTTTAATTATTAACTGATTATAAAAGGAGTTTGTTTCTCTTGCTAAATTACTATATGGATTTTAAAAACTCCTGTTATCAATTTGATACGGCACTAGTCATTATATATATATATATATATATATATATATATATATATATATATATATATATATATATATATATATATATATATATATATATATATAAATACTGATTTACATAATTATCTTTGTCTAGATGTATAATGAGCTGTTTCATCAGCGACATCCAACAATCAAGTCTCCGGAAGCCGCCATCCAACGGTACCTGAAGGCGGGAACTAAAACAGGTACGGTCAGATTTCTGTTCAATCAAAGTCCGGCAAGGGAGAGAGTGGTTCCAGGAATATAGAGTAACTTTCGTATATACAAATATAGCCCCTTTATGAGGTCGATCCATAGCTATATCGACTTCACAGAAAAACATATCGACTGGGCACGAAGATACCATATGCATATCAGTTACAGAAGTGTCGTAACCCCCCCCCCCCCCGATCATTTAAGTAATGCTTGTAGTCGATTTTTTTCCCTTGCAAATGACCCCTCCACTTTTTAGAAAAGTGGAGTTATGGAGAGTATTTTAAAAAATGTTGAAATGATAACTTGACTGATCTGAAAAAAAAAATGGGATGGACTCTGATCGTCCATCTTTATCAGACCGAGCTACAGACCTGCAGGTGTTGGCTGTCTCAATTATTCGCAATATTAGAATATGCTACCCAAACAATATTTTTATAAGCCTGGATTAAATGTATAATGTACGTTAAAAAGCTGTATCAAATAAATGTTACTGTATTACGAATATTCTTGAACTGTCACTAAAAACGGTTGATTACTTTCAGATAACACCTATCCCAGCGTATTTATAGCAAATGGCAACTCAAACGATGCCTCCTCGGGAAACTTTATAGTGAAACAAGACTCCATAGAAATTCCTCAGAAAGGCATGTACGAAGTAACGACCATTGCGACAGTCAAAATCACCCACAACGTCACAAAAACAATGCATGCGCTCTATAAACATAAAGGAAAAGCCCTGTCACCCTTGATGCAGCGATCTTACGCCGCACGCGCGGAAGTTATGGCTTTCCATCAAAGTGTGTTAAGGGACACTTTTCTTTTGGACAAGGGAGACAACTTGAGCGTGTTTGTGTCGGGAATATCAAGTGTTTATGAAAAGACAACACCAATATCAATACGCTATATAGGACAAAAGGAATAATATAGCTGTTGCATTACAGAGGATTTATTAATTTTGTGTGACTAAGCTGAATAAAGTTTGTTTACTCACATTAATATTCAAAGTGTAAATAATTTAAAGTGTTAAAAAAGTAATTTAGACATTTAATTTTTTTTTTTTAAATAAAAAAGATGATCCATCCATGTGTCCCTTTTTTGACACTTGGGGGTAAGAATCTAAAGGTCAAGTTTACATGGCCAAACACATCTTCACTAGCCAAGTTACGATCCGCCCCTTTTCTTAAAAAGGGAACGGGGGAGGGGGGGGGGAGGGTGGATCGTCACTTTTGACTAGCGAAGATAGACATAATACTACTTGTATAACCTACATAATTTATATATCAGCTGCAGGGATGCAAAGAAAGATTAATCTACAAAACTGAGCAAAGTACTCTTTGAAAAAGAGGTGTAAATTTTCAGCAAAATACCATACCTCTTTCAGTGTTGATTTCCTGTGCATCAGTTTAAACCCCCCCCCCCCCCAATCAATCTAACGCTGTGTTAAAATTTTACTTTCCAAGAGTTAATAACTATTGCTTCTAGTTATCAATACATGTATATAGCAGGTTTTATTGTACTAAAGTGGGTTATAAATACAAGAATGGTAACATTATTTTTTCCACATTGAGAACTTTAGTTAGATGAAGTCCTTATGTCTCAATCCTAGTAGCCAGGATTCTGTGAAATCTACACATTCCTTAGTTCTCTCTGAAACAGAATCTTTTCTGTCCAAAATGGTGGATTCCAACCTGCATGAAAAAAAAGTTCACCGATTGATCTGTGACAGTGAATAAAAAGCGATGCATTCTTGAGTGAAATATATATATATATATATATATATATATATATATATATATATATATATATATATATATATATATATTATGTGTAAAAGAAAATGGTAAATAGCACTTGGCTGGTACATAATTTGAAATTTCTTTTAAGAGATTCTTTCAAAAAATTTCCCATCCATTCATTGCATGAATGCATGTGTGTTGACTACATGGACTTACTTTTGTATGATTTCCCAGGCCTTGTCAACTGGGAATCCCCCCTGTCTAATTGTCATCAATATGTCTCTCTCAAGAGTTCCCTCTCCTCTGTAGACGTGTAGTTCATCTCCCACAACAATGTCCCTATAATACAACACTTACATTGTATAATGAGGGGCTCAAAGTAGCAAACAGAAATAAACACATCAGCATAGATTACAGCATTTATAAACCTTACGTAGGAGTGAAACATATTTGAGATTTTATAACTCAGCAGTAGCACATTTTATAAAATGCCTGCATTGTTATGTGATATTTGCGTGCAAATGCTATTCATAATTATAAAGTGTACATGTGTATTCTGTGTATATGTATAGCCTAGCGCTATATGTTCATGAATGAAACGATCATCCATAATGTTATAACATATCTATCAATAGTTTTGACTTGAAAAGCCATTAGTCTGTTTTACACCAGAGCAAGTCTTAGCAGAGGAAAACTGGGTAAATTTCACCAATTGTTGATGCAAATTTTGCATTCTACACTAGTACGCATCCCAATGTTTGTCGGCAACACTTCCAAGTCCAAACTATCTGTTGAAATGTTCTACATTGTACCTTGCATTCTGTAAGAGGCGAACGATGACATATAGCAGTTTGCACATCTTCAGTGGCAGTACCTCCACCTCTGGATGATCTTTACACCACTTCTGTAGCTGTGTGGTGCCCTTGCTTCCCTGAGCATCTCTGAGATATTTATTGAGAGTTTCCCTGTTCCATACAAGATGATAAAGATTTGCCATTAATATTAGGAATATGACAATCTCCTTTCTCTAACTCACTTGAATCCAACATTTAATTGTTGAATTTCCCAATATCACAGATGCTATATTAGATAAACCAGATTATAAGTAACAGGATGCATGGATAATTGCTTTAATGATAAATCTTGGTCCATCTTCTGAGTGAAATACTTTTCATAATATCATTACTAATACAATATAATACAGCATAAATATAATCCAGAGATGATAATGATATAAATTTTTAAGTATAAAACATTTATGGATGGATATTTTAAATATGATAGGGAACCCAACGTATATAATATAAAATGTTTGGTCATATAATAACATTTCATTATTTCGTTATGATAAGTGGCATCTATCCTGCACTGTTCACTTTCTGCAATTTTTGACAATTATCTCAAATAACAAATTTCCTGAGTATTAAACAGTTTACCTATTCAGGAAATGTCTCCTTCCTTCCTTTAGCTCTTGCCATTCTGTAGAGGTTCTAACCATGGATTCCTCCTGTAGAAACAAAGTCTCCACACATCTGGCATCTCCATTCAGTAACAGCTCACTGTAGCGGAACACTTCATGGATCGTGTAGTCACACTGCTGGTTCTCTCTGTTCTATTGCAGTCATTAAAAAGATAAAGTTTCAATTAATGAAAATTTTGACATCATATAATGGAAAATGCACTTTCAAAATGATTGAGCTAGGTTTCCAGCAGCTCATTTATATTTTTGGAAACATTCAATGAATAAAAGATACTGGGTCTTAAATGCTAACATTTGAAAATCTCTCTGGCGGATTGTGCAATTGATGAAGTACAGGAATGCACAAGTTGGAAATAATAAGCATAAAACTAATGTTGAATTCAGGAATTGGGAAAGTTGCCATCCAAGTTGGGCAGATGCCTAAGTCTTTTTAAGCCCTCTCTCCAATCCAATTACCTGGTAGCTACAAGTTCTTAAAAGCATTGCTAAAGGTGTCTAGCTTTTTACAAATGCCTGATGCTAATTTTTACCCAAACTTTAATGATATTTCCTATGTTTTACCTTTATTGTCTGTTTTGGTGGTTGAAACCCAAGCACATCCCTGGTCTTTGCTTGGTAAACAATAAACATATCTGTGTCACTTTCTGGTGTGCTAAGGTTGTACCTGACATTTAATGTTTGAGAGTTGTTAGAGAGTAAAATACCAGTACACAGTTTTAAAACTTGAAAAAATGTCCATTTCTATACAGAAGTTAAAATACATGTACATAAATTAGTAGGAACATTTAAATCTCTGATGTTTGTTGTGTATACAATAAAAATTATATAGTAAAAGCATTCCCTGCTCATATCAAAGTCATTTCATTTTTTGAAGAAGGAAAATTTTTCAAGTTAAAATAAGATTGAGGGTTTTTATAAATCTGAAGGTTTCCAAGGACAGTTATAATTTTGAAACTGTAAAAGGAGAGGAGAAAAATGCAGCGGACCAGACCAGGATTCGAACCCGGGCCCCCTGAATCTCCAGTCAGGTGCTCTACCAACTGAGCTATCTGGCCACTGGCAATCAAACCCGTCTGACCGCCACAAAATAAATAAATTGGATAATAATATATATGAAGAACCTTTGGCTGCCAAAAGGACATGCTAGGATAACTTTTCCAAGGTCTTTCTCCACTTTGTTTACAATTGTTCTCCATGTTTCCTCACTAGAAATCTCCTCTGAATTGTAAAATGGAGGAGGTATACGTTCTAATTCCCTCTGTAACTTTTGATCTCGCTTCTCTTTGAGTTCTCCATAAAAGGAATCAATCAGAGAACATAACTTTGAACCTACTTCTTGTGGAATTTCTTGCCAATTTCTACTTTGATTCAGTGGTGCATTGTCTACAAAAATATCTTCAGTTAGTTTTGATGATAAACATTGTTCTCCAAAGTGGTCTGTGTAGTGGGTCATCCATTTGACTTTGAAGTAATGCCAATGACTATTTAAAAGGTTGACAGACATTTCAGTTTGTTCAGAAAATTCTTTGGTTTCTTGAGTATCACCATCTTTCATCTGCTGAACTGCTTTCTCGTCATTTTGACTGTCAGGTGGCGTCAACATCTCTGCATATCCATGCCAGCCATGACAATTGTTAACACTATATATGAAGATCACCTTCCCGTTTTTAAGAGCCTCAGATAGTATTTCACGAGGGTGAGGAGGAGAGACCCTATCTCTACATGCCCACTTTTCAGAAGTGATGCAAGTTTTCAGTGAAGTGAAGTTTGCACACTTCACAATGAAATACCGAACAGTTGTAGCTTCAGTCATTATTTATTCCCTTTTTTTTAAAAATCTGGTATCAGGATATATACTGACATCAATGGATATTTCTTCAATTAAGAATTACGTTCAGACTCGCAAAGAGCAATTGCATCATCATTTGACATCGTTTGAAATCTCTCAATTATTTATACTTGACAATATTTTGTGTTTAGTACGGTTCACTTATGTATTCATTTTTCTCCTTAAATATATGTGAGTATTGATTTATGTTCTCTTTAATCCACATAAAAAAAGAAAATCTCTGAAACTTTCAGGGTTTGTTTACCATTACGCCCACTACCGGAACTTTAACTGGCACAATAAAATTCAAAATGTTGACGTGGAATTCTCAAATCCGGATATGGATCTAGGAGTTGTTTTCTTACATAGTCTAATAAAAAAAATCTTTTGTAATAATGAAATTCAGCACATTTATGGGAGTTCTTTGCTTTTAATATTTGATGATCAAATCAAAATCTAGATCTAACTTACACTACACTACATGTATTACATGAATTTTTAAGATTGGGTATCCATAATGTAGTTATTTGTAGTGTAATTGAAAATATCTCATTTGATCAGAAGATGGTAACCAGAGTACCTAGATCATCAATAAACAGAAACATTTTTTTAATTTACTAACAATGAGGTCAATTCTCAAGATCAACATAAAACCCAATGGTGATAAAAGGGAATTAAATCATATCCTGCATATGTGATCTATGTAGCAGAAATGAACAAGATCAAATATTATCAATCGTCCATTCTGATGGTAGAAATTGCATCCAAATACCTCGCATTGTAATAAATCTTTAAAGTTAAACAATGATCTAAACAGGTCATTCACAAGGAAGACATACATATATAACTTGCCAAAGACAAGGTCAAAGATCAATGCAAAGATTAACCCTAATGGTGGTATTTGAATTATCTCATCCTGCTCTACCTGTGAAGTTAGAAATAACCTAAATAAGCCAAGATACCACACTGTGGTAGTGTAAGATAATGGCATCCTACTAGATTGGCCTAGTGGGTTTCCCTCTAGTTTGATTTATAGAGCACTGGACTGGCAGGTCAGAGGTTTTTGGTTCAATCCCAAGCGGAGGCAAAACCTGTCTCTGTTACATTAATGTTAACTCTGAAGGGCACAATTGTTGGAACATCTTGATTTTCCTGTCAAGTTATAACATGATGATCAGAATGAGCCAACCTCAACAAAGATATTTTTCCCTGAGGCTTCATGGTTAAGTCTAAGTTCAATTCTTTTTTAAATAGGAAAATTTATTGATATACGTATTGATCTATTTGAGAAGATGCTGATCAAAATAGGCCATCTGCAAAAGCAATCAATATTTTAAATTTACAAATACAAAGACGTACTCTATCCATGAGAAGCTCTGTTCTTTCAAAAGTAAGCTCTGCACTCCCATCCCAAATCAATTCTACTGAACGAGAAGACATTTTAATGATTTTAAGCTTTTATTAAAAATTTAAAAAAAAAACAATAACTTTAAATCAGAATGAAATGTATTGCACATTAAAAGCACTATCAAACAAAGTGTTAACATCAGTGTTAATTGTTTCACTTTTGTGCCTCTTCAATTGGTCCATACTGACACACAAGAATTCTTTGTCTTATCAAATAAATAACAATGTCAATAAAAACCCTCTTTTGTGAGTCTCAGTCTCCATTGGGGGTTTTGAAGAAGACTTCCTTTAGCTTCTGCATGCGATTCTCCAGCTGACTTGGGGAGAGGGCTGCGTGACTTCTGTGGTGAAGTTTGATTAATTCGGTGTACTCCTGGAATGTATACTGACTTCCTTTCTCTGCTATCATGGTTATTACGTCCTAAAACATTAAAAATCAAACTCCCTTACGCAAAAAAAAGTGACAATACATTTTTCGTTCATTACAAAATTAATTAAAGCATATTAATGATATTCTGTTAAGAAATACAAAATATCCTTTTTCATGATTTTGACAAAGAAATGTGCATTCTTGAAGCAGCATGCTTCATTTAACATCTGGATTTATGTGCATGCAGAACATCCAGGACCTATACATCTGGAATGATATACAGAAATTCATAGTAATGTCTACAGGCCTTTCAAAATCTGCTGGTACCCGATCTTTTTACCTGGCTAAAATCGTGATTGTAGCGGCCAAAATATTTGATGGAGAAAAATTTGATAACATAATTATTTAATTAAAATCTCTTCCACAAGGTACCTCCAATTTTTGTAAAAGTACTGCCTATTTCTGATCTATTTTAAAGCCCTGTGTCTAGCATGATCCAGATCCGATTTCCAGTACTCACATCTGGATTGATATACAGAAGTTCACATTACTGTCTAGCATGATCCAGATCCAGTTTCCAGTACTTACATCTGGATTGATATACAGAAGTTCATAGTATTGTCTAGCATGATCCAGATCCGGTTTCCAGTACTTACATCTGGATTGATATACAGAAGTTCATAGTATTGTCTAGCATGATCCAGATCAGGTTCTCTAGACATGGTGATGTTAGTCAGGTTCTGCTGTATGGCAAACAGATTCCGACACCTAGATGAAATCAAGAGTTATTACATGGAGTTTTGTGATATGGTACAGTCTAAAATAAAAATTAAGAAATTATTTTTACATCTTGAATTATATATGCCGGGGTCCTATGGTACCGGTGAACTTAACTTTGAAAGTCAAGTAATCGGGCAAAAAAGTTTTATATAATCATTTACGATGTTGTGTCAATAAAAAAATAAATAAGTTACCTGTCTATAATGATGTAATTGAATTGTTTACATATTTTACCGTAATAAATTAAGACACAAATCTAACCGAGTCTAGCGTTTGTGTATTCAAGGGACGTTACTCTGGTACCGGTGCAAATGTATGGCCAGCTAGAAATATCATAAAATAAACAAAATTTGCCTTTAATTTTTTTGTTAATCAACAGATTTATCAAAATAAAAACATGTTATATTAAATATGAATTTACATAATACTATCAGAAATTATTTCTTCTAAATTAGGTAAAATATGTTGATCTAATCAGTAATAAATGAATATCCTTCAAGTTTCCAATTTACTTATCACAGTGAATATAATTAAACACATCACTTACTTTATTATACTTCTTCCAGAGACTCCTAATTAAATAATATAGTTGGGGAAATCACTTTATATATTTTTATACTAATGAACGTTTTTTAAATAAAAAAAAAAAAAAATTAAAACTTTTTTTTTTTAAAACAACTTTATACAAATTATTGTATTTTGAAACCTTTTTCAGGCTAATTTGAAGTAATGTCATAACAAGTTTCACTATTATTTCGCCTTTGAAAAACTGTATAATTTTAAGAAGAACAGCGTTCCATATATTTTTTTGACATGTCACGTGACTAAAAAACATCAGACGACAACAAAGCTGAAGGCTGTCTGGAGAAATGGTTTACAATTTAATTGTTAATAACACTTTATCAGTGTCTGGTATGAAGAGTGGTGCAAAATAACACAGAAACTATGGGTCTTGTGAAAAATAGCTGATTTCTTACCAAACGACGTAACATTTCATACATAAATTAGATAGATCTTGACAGCAGGGTATCACTTCTCATCTCTAAAAATAGCCAGCCACCAGGTGTCGTTTTTTGCACGCGACAGTTAAAAATAGAGATACACTGGTACCAGAGAACGACTGGTATCATAGGAAGCGAGTATACAGTATCATACACTTTTTATGTCTGGATTGATATATAATAGTTCATAGTAATGGAATAATCTCAAACAAATCTGTTTAAATGGAACAAAAGACTAGGAACTTACATCTTTTTAATGCCATTTTCATTGATCTTCTTCATATACTGGATACTATTCATAAGTATAGATGCCACTAAAAATCCTAAACTCTCAAATATGTATCTGAAAATGTAAAACAAGTCAAATGATATTACCTACATATGTAAATATAAATTTACTCAACAATTTCCCTTAAAACATTTTGTAAAGGTCCATATTCAAGGCCCTTGTATAAACACTATATAGGAATGTCTTACTTGAATTTCTTGGGTTGCAGACTCTGTTGTAGCACTTCCTCCATGCTGCTTAAATCCTTGTTTAGTTTCAGCACATTAGAATCTGGGTCAAGGTCATCTATAGGTCCAGCATAGTTGGACTAAAATAAGATCAAACTGATGTGTAATGCATTTTTCATGTGAATGTGAAAAAAAAGATTTCTTGTTTCAACCATAATCCAATAAAAATATGTCAATATACCTGGATCAACTCGATCTGGATTCAAACTACCACAATAATTAACCAAAATTGCACTTAGTGACAATTAAAACTAAGCTAAAATCTGGATTCATTGAGTTTTTCTATGGTGGATATATGTTAATAATTACTTGATCCTTCTTCTGGTTGTCTTTGAAGTGTGACTTACACAGCAGATGCTATAAAATCTGCAGAAAACAAAGACAATACATACCTGCTTAGCAACTGGTAACAGGAAGTAGAAACAGTGAACTCTGACCTCCAGATGAAGAAGCAGAAGACAAATTTCAGCCAAATCCTGGAAATCCTTCACCAGGTTTTTCAAAGAACTAAATTTATGGAGTAGAAATGATGGCTGATTAATAAATTTCATACATTCTAATTTATTTTTTCTAGGATCTAGAATGTTTTTAACATATTAGGATGTTTACATTTATATATACAACAGTTCACATCACATTAATTTTACCTTAGAGTCTTTTCAGATACAGGTGGGTATTCCTAGAAAAGAAATTTATCTCTAATTCAAACAAATGTGTTTCTTATCTTTGTGACATACCAGTAATGTAACATAATTCTGACATCATGTGTTGTATTGCATTTACAAAAGAAGGTGATGAAGCTCTGAACATTTTACACTGAGTGTTGGATATTTTATACAGAGTGCTGGGCATTTTACAGTGAGTGTTGGACATTTGACATTGCATGTTGGACATTTTACACTGAATGTTGGATATTTTACACTGAGTGTTGGATATTTTACACTGAATGTTGGATATTTTACACTGAGTGCTGGGCATTTTACACTGAGTGTTGGACATTTGACACTGAATGTTGGACATTTTACACTGAATGTTGGACATTTTACATTGAATGTTGGGCATTTTACACTGAATGTTGGACACTTTACAATGAATGTTGATTTTACACTGAGTATTGAACATTTTACACTGAATGTTGGACATTTTACACTGAATGCTGGGCATTTTACACTGAATGCTGGACATTTTACACTGAATGCTGGATATTTTACACTTAATGTGGGACTTACAGCTGCCTCAGTCTCTGCTGGGGTTGTATTAGATCTGGCACACAGACGATTTGAGAAATCCTTTATTCTATTTGAAAACCACTCCTATCAAAATTAAGAAAAAAATTATTTTCATGTTGTCTGATTTCTAATTTGTTATAGACATGAAGCATACACACACAGAATTTTGTTGGATATATCTGTAATTTGATCAGTAATACATCGTAGCATTTCAATTCACTACATTTGCATTCAATTGATGCTAGACAGAAAAGAGTGCTAAACTATACCACTTAATTATCCAGATATCGACTGAAACCTAAATATATAACATAACAAAAATTATATGTGCTACTTTTACAGTAAATCTACATGTACATGTATTTTACATACTATTGGATGCAACGTCCATTTTAAACATAATCCTGTTTCAGACATATTTAAAGTAGTGATGTTTTGTAATACACTGTATATTATTTCTCAGGTAGAAATTAAAATTACATACCACACTCTCATGAACATTAGCTATTGTCCTCATTTGAGTGACGTCTGTAATAATCTCCTGTTGAATCAGGCCGTCGGACGACGTCAAATTACTGATCAGAATCTGGGCTTCCTTAGAGTTAAGGGCCTTGATTTCTTCCTCAGAGCAGACATCGTCACTGGCCAGTTCCTGACCACTGGACGACTGAAGTGACCGCCAACTTGGTAATGATCTGTTAAAATCAAATTAGTTTTAAGGATGTGTTTTGAAAACAATTGTAATCTTAAAGTTAACAAAATTAGTGACTCAAATATTTTAATTCTATTCCCTTAAACATTAAGGGTAAATTGTAAATACAGTTGAATTTCAGTATCTCCATCATCGAAATCTTGAATACTCTTTTGATATCTTCAAGTGAGCTGGAAGTTCAAACCACTTTTTCTTTATGCATTTTCAGGATCTTGAATTGTTGGACTTCTTGAAGTTTTTGTCAGCCCATCAAGTTTGTGATAACAAGGTTTTTTCTGTACACTCATTGAAAACTTGACATTATGTGTGGGTAAATGGGTGTAATATAGATGCAAATCAGTTATATAATGTAAACTTCATTCATCTGCAATATGTAAATGAACAACAGGTGCTTGTTTGAATGAAAAGAATGTGATGGGAATCTCTTTGTTGGTGAAAAAGGAATAAGCCACTATGGTAAATAATTCTAAGTGCACAAAACAGTAAAACATTCTACCTGACTTCATAACTGAAACTACATTCACATAAAAAAGAGAAAAGTTTTATAATAAAAATTAAAGAATTAAGAATTAAATAAAAGAAATTTTGTACAGAAGTTGTAAGAACACGGAAAATAAAAACGGTTTTAAATCAAATATGAAGACTGCACTAGTCTACAAATAATCTTTCAAACAGGTCAAGACAAAAAGAAGAGCTGAGAAATATCTTAGATTAGACATGTAACATGTTATTTGTTTTGATTTTTACCTGAGAAATCGACTGATATCTTCATCTTTAGCCCACATAGCACTAATCACTCGTCTGTCATCCGAATCATACTGGACAATTTCTATCATTAAACAAGAGGCCCATGGGCCACATCGCTCACCTGAGTAACTTTGGCCATGCTGTTCTTTACCAGATTTCCCCCCCTGTAATACCTATTGTGGCCCCGCCCTACCCCCAGGGGTCATGTTTTGAACAATTTAGAATCTACACTACCCCAGGATGCTTCCAAATAAGTTTCCGCTTTTCTGGTCCAGTGGTTCTTGAAAAAAAGATTTTAAAAGATTTTTCCTATATATTTCAATGTAAAACTTGGATTCCCTATTGTGGCTCCGCCCTACCCCCAGGGGTCATGATTTGAACAATGGATGCTTCAACTCAAGTTTCAGCTTTTCTGGCCCAGTGGTTCTTGAGAAGATGATTTTAAAAGATTTTTCTTATATATTTCAATGTAAAACTTGGATTCCCTATTGTGGCCCCGCCCTACCCCTGGGGGTCATGATTTGAACAATTTAGATTCTACACTACCCCAGGATGCTTCCATATAAGTTTCAGCTTTTCTGGCTCAGTGGTTCTTGAGAAGAAGATTTTAAAAGATTTTTCTTATATATTTCAATGTAAAACTTGGATTCCCTATTGTGGCCCCGCCCTACCCCTGGGGGTCATGATTTGAACAATTTAGATTCTATACTACCCCAGGATGCTTCCATATAAGTTTCAGCTTCTCTGGCCCAGTGGTTCTTGAGAAGAAGATTTTTAAAGAACTTTCCTATATATTAAAATGTAAAACTTGGATTCCCTATTGTGGCCCCGCCCTACCCCGGGGGTCATGATTTTAACAATTTAGAATCTACACTATCCCAGGATGCTTCCACATAAGTTTCAGCTTTTCTGGCCCAGTGGTTCTTGAGAAGATTTTTTAATGACCCCACCATATTTTTGTCTTTTCTTGATTATCTCCCCTTATAAGGGGACTTGGCCCTTTATTTTAACAATTTACACTCCCCTTCACCCAAGGATACTTTGTACCAAGTTTGGTTAAAATTGGCCCAGTGGTTCTTGAGAAGAAGTTGAAAATGTGAAAAGTTTACAGACGGACGGACGACAGACAACAGGTGATCAGAAAAGCTCACTTGAGCTTTCAGCTCAGGTGAGCTAAAAATTGGTACAAGTGTCAAGACTTATCAACGTAAAATATCAAATCAAATGCAAGGACTGAAAAAATGCTTGTGAATTGTTTGACATAAATTTCTAGTTTCCAAAGATTCTTCACAAAGGTGTTATTCAACTGATCCTAAGTAGAGTTACCTACCCCTGTACGCTGAGTGGCAGGTGTCTTTATATTCCTTCAGTGTGTTACAGATCATGTTCAGGAACTGGTCGGCATAGTCCGGCAGATCCTGCATCAGTTCCCGGAGCTCTTGTAGATTCTTGTCCACTGTCACTGTGCTCTGTCAAGTATCAAAATATTTTTGTAAAACATTTTAAAATCTTTTCAACAGGAACTTTTACATAAAGATCTTAGAAGGAGACTTAATAATAATTGGGATGAAGGATGTAAAAATTTCACCTTCATTTAAAGAACTGGAATTGGTCATTTGTACAAGTTAATATCAAAAGAGAAAAAAGGCAACTTTTACACTTGAAATCAATCAAACCTTGCTCTATATATGGGTATGTGTACATACATGTACTTTTTTGAATAAAATAAAAGAGTTCCATAATTACTGATGCAATTAGAATTGTGGGTAATTATACTTACCATCAATAAGGGTCTAGATACACCAAGTTTCTTCCGAGTTTAGAATTGGGGGTAATTATACTTACTGTCAATAAGGGTCTAGATACACCAAGTTCCTTCTGAGTTTAGAATTGGGGGTAATTATACTTACTGTCAATAAAGGTCTAGATACACCGAGTTCCTTCTGAGTTTTATGATCCACCACATGTCGTAAGGCATCGAAACCTTAACAATGGATAAAATGACAAAAATGAGAGCATGCATGTGTATCCAGTTATCTAGTAATAATCACAGAGTAACTGATGCTATATACCAGAATATGTCACAAATTTGTTTAAATACCACTACATAATTTAGTAAATGGCCTAATTATAAGTACATGTACATTAGCTGGAAAAAAAAAAAAAACATGAACAAAATTTAGTTTCAAATTCACAGCAACTCATCTACAATCAATTTCCAAGAACAAACTTATGAGGAGTCTATAAAAAGATGCAAGGCATGTGAAAAACAACAACTAGACAAAAAAAAATAAATACAGCAGATTTACCCAGTTTTGACCTTTCCAATAACTTTGAGTAGCAGTTAGACAAGTGATACAAGATTTTCAAATGTTTAATATCTGTGTGTTAATTAAATACAAGACGGTCACTGCATGTCAAAAGTACCGGTATACACAATGTATATACATGTAGTTACATATTCAGTTTACATGTATATGTTCATAAAATACTCCATTAGTACTAATCATTAAATACATCTTCAAATACATTCTGAATCCCTACTTGCATGTCAATCCTATAAACAATATACTCTTTCATGTCTCAAAAACCACTAGAATTATTTAATTTTCAGTTCTAAAATATATGCATGTTAGTACATATTTTATGCATTTCACATGCAAGTTATTACTCTATGCAGTACATTTCTTTAAATGAAGTAAACGCTTTCCCAAAGGTATTTCTTTGTTTTATATTAATGGTTAAATGTTTGCCATATCATAGAGTACAGTAATTTCAAAGCTCAGTTTCAGAGAACTCAAAATAGTGCCTTTGGCATATTAAAGTAAGCTTTTGTCTAATAAGAATAGATAACATTAATTTTAAAGACAGATAATAGTGGTGCACATCTGTAGCTACAGGGTCACATGACAGTCACATGACATGCTGACTTACTCTCATCTTCCTCATCCACTGGAGTGGACCAAAACAAAGAAAGAAGATTCAGATAACATGTGTATACATCAGAAAATATCTATCATGCAAGAATGTAGAGAAATTCTACAGGTTAGTTGTCTCTTAGTCAAGTTCAGTAACTCTTACCCCTTTCTGACTTAGATTGTGAATGAACTAACAGTACAGGGTAACTTTGAATTCTGAAGCACTGGCAGACTTAGAAATGGGTATGTGGGTGGGTGTGGCGCTTTGTCACCCAAAATTTAGTAAATATGATAAATCCTTTGTATGGTTGTTAGACATTGCTTTTATGTATATAAAACATAGCTAGAGAATAAGTCATCAAACTGTTTTAAAAAGACTTAAACCTGGGAGCTTCCGGAGCTTTACCCCCTGAGACCCACAAAGGCTTTGCTCTCTACCCATTGAGAGTCCAAAGCTGCCCCCCTTCACATCCCCATCCTGTTACATGTTTAGCCTCCTTTCAAGAATCCCCCTGTATCCACCACTGTGAAGAGTTATCAAACATGGCTAAGTAAACCAAACCTCAATGAAATATAAATATCTAGAAAGTTTATCAGTAGAAATCTATGAAATTCTTAGGAAAGTTAAACTAAAGTTAAATAAAATTATTAAATAAAATTACTGAGGAATATTTTTATAAACAGATTATTAGTCAGTCATATTTTTATCCATGTTGCTTTTTCTTCTAGGTATAATCTTACAATCTTAATAATTGGTATTCTATATACAAGTACTTTTTCTCAAATAATGTAATGATATTAAAAATGAAAAAGAGGTTGAGCAAAAAAAAAAAAAAAAAAAAAAAAAAAAAAAATTAAGCGAATTTTTTTTCACCTTAAATATAAATATGTAAGATAAATCATATGTGCACTTCATGCCATAATAAAGAACCATTATAGAAAAAGCCTAGGAGAGGCAGATTTATAATCTACAATCTTTTTTATCAGCAGAAGTTACAAATTAATGTAGATTAATTTTCTTGCATCAAATTTATGAATTAGCAGCAATCTTAAATAATGGTTAAAGTGCTAGATAGAATTAAAATTGGTCACCAGCAATATCATTTATCACATATCTGTCACTTATCTGGGAGAGATGTTCTTGTGACATACCATTATTAGTTCAAAATTGTCACCATGACAACAGAAACCATGTGATCAAACAAGAAAAATGTGTGACAGACATATGACTAAACTGTTAGTGACTGCAAAATATACATACTTTGAGGGTTTTTGTAGTAGCGGATTAAATCTTAAAAGTGGAAATTAATCTAATTATTTAAAATAAAAGTACAGTGAAAACATTTACCTATATTTTAACCAAAACTAGAAATATGTCCATAGGACATGAATGCCCCATCAAGGGTTCATTAGCAATGCAAGATGAAAGAAATGTACCTTGCTTCTTCATCTCAGACTAGCGTACATGATAAATAGTAAGGTCAAAATCACAGGGAAGGTTAATGTTAGAAAATTATGACACAGTTGAATAGCTCTCACCAATTTGTGTAAGTGTATGAAGTTTTATGAAAACATCTTGAATAATTTTTTGAAACTAAGTTTTAAACACAATCATAGTAAAGTCAAAGTTCACTGGGGAGGTCCACATAAAAAAAATTGGACAATCATTTGAATCAGTATATACCGTATAACGGGTATTTTCTGCGGTTGTTCAATTTTTGCGGAATTTTGCGGATAGGACAAATCCGCAAAAATTACAATCGCAAAATATTTTTCAATATTTCTTCAGATATATATATTTTATACATGCAAGTATGATAAGTGGTGCGTATGTCCTCGTTAGCGAGAAAATTCGGGTGTCATCGAAATTTGAAGATTTTAGATATTAGGACTTTTCCAAAACATATTGAATTAAAACGTTGCTGTAAATAATATCAATTTAATAAGTTTATACAAAAACATCTTTTCTTGTACCTACTTCTTTATTTTATACGGATATACATGTACATGTAAATGACTAAAAGAGATTTCGCAATTAATAGTCCAAACTCCGATAGCTGCAAACAACACATAGTAGCTTTTCTTTCTTTCTTTAACACTTTTTTCAATCTTGTGTTTTATCTGGAGACCATAATTACTGCTTGTATACACAAAGTGGCTTGATTGTCTCGTGAATTTCACACAATGCAGATGACTGACAGGATTAGTTACGCCTCAATGCACATGGCACCTGTGATTGTACATGGTCAACTTTAGGTTACTTGATTATGCAACTCTTTGTTTGAGCTTAAAATATAAACACCAGATTAATTTTGATGGCAATTAACTATAAGTGTATTTTTTTAGAATATGGCTTGGATGCATTATCTATATATTAAAATATTTTAATAGATCGCATAAAATTGTGTTACAATGTAGAATAAAGATTTTTTATTGTTGTTTGGGTGAACCGATACTGCAATAATTCATTTCAATTGGAACTCAACATAATTTTACAAAGACTAACTGAAAGATAGTAGTTTAATTAAGCTTAATAGCTTAATACCAGTTCTCATGCAACTTTGATCAATATGTCTCAATGAATTTATAAAACGTAAACATGGCAGGTGTCTGATAATTCTTAGAGATTGGTGATCATACCCAGTGAATAATTTTTTGCGGTATAATGCAACCGCAGAAATTGAAAACGCAGAAATTAATTTGCTATCTTTTAGGGGTTAAATCGCAAAAATTTCCAACCGCAGAAAATACCCGTTATACGGTATGTTTAGATAAAAATTTCTGGAATAGTTTCTTTGAAACTGAACTCAATGCAAATTAATGCAAAAGTGAGGTCAATGTCAAAAATTTTTGATGCAGTTAAATAGCTCTTACTAATATGTAACAGCTTATGAAGTTTGATAAAAATATCTTAAATAATGTCTTTGAAACTGAGCTAAACACAATTTAAAAAAAAAAAAGTGAGGTCATTTTGATGCAGTTGAATAGCTCTCATTAATACAGTATGTACATGTATCAGCATATGAAGTTTGATAAAATAAAAAATATCTTGTCAGTGAATAGTTTCTTTGAAACTAAGCTAAACACGAAGTGTGACAGATAGAAGGACAGAAGGATGGAAAGACGGAAGACGGACACAACAAACACTATATGCCCGAGCCATATTCATGGCAGGGAATAGCCATATTCATGGCCGAGCATAAAACATTTATGTATGTTCTCAATGAGCTTAATAAACAAAATATTTATGCTGATATTACAGGAGTTGTAATCATTTAACATAAGACTCCATAAACAATGTAAAAATATTTTTGTTACTACATGTAAAAACTACATACATCTAGCTAGGCCAAAATCATAATATTTTTACTTAAATCTTTTGTTAAAATTGCATGTACAAATTATTTCAAAACATTAAATAGTAAAAGTTTACCCACACTGATAACCTTCAGTACATCAGCTCTTACCTTTGGTGGCTGAACCAATACTGGTAGAAACAGTGTAATGAACTTGACCCAGGAATATATTCTGAACAAAGTCAGTCACAAAAGCCTGCAAACTGGAGGTCCTGTAAACAAGTCCCAACATACAGAATCCACATTCTAAGCATAAAAAGTCAAAGTTAGCCTAAGTCAAGGGAACTTCATCAGATTAAAGGTTCAAACTCCTCCACTCAGTCCAACAAAATTCTGCTTTAACATTAATGATTTTTCAAAAGAAATCAAATTCACCATGAAAATGTGCAAAATTTTACTATACACCTTCCAGGGTTAATTTTGTCAGAAATGACTTTTTGAGAATATTGTAAAGGGATAATGGTCATTTATCCAAGTAAGAGTTATCTTTCCAATCATAGTGACAATGTACCTTAATAATATTATGTATACAAGCACATTACAATGTGATTCAATCTGTTTATAAAAAAATAGAAAACAAAAAGTGTTACCCATCTGGACAAGCAATGGCATCTTCTATTTCTCTAATGAATGACTCTAAGGGTTTGAATATTGCTGAAAATGAGTCAAAGATATAGTAAGGTAGGATCTACATTGATTACTGGTACAGTTGAACTTCGGTATCTTGAACACGGATATCTCGAATACCATGGATATGTCTTAGTGATTTTGAAGTCCCAAGTGCTTATTTCTTAAGTATTTTACCCTGGATATCTCGAATCCTCGGATATCTCAAAGTATTTTCTTGGTCCCTTGAAGTTCGAGATAAAGAGGTTTGATGGTATTTAAAATAAATTTATGACATCAAGTTGTTGGAAAATTTGTCTTCAATTTCTATAGACACAGCAGGAACACCTGTGATGTTATAATCAATATAGGATCTCCCATGCTTTGTTGTTGGATATGATTGTTATCCATAGAGTTGAATGTTTTCTATCCCCAAGCCTTGGTGAAGGGATAAAAACACCAGTTGGATACAAATCATATCCAACCATAAACCAATGGGAAATTTTTTTAATCATGTTTTACACATAGCCATCAATCATTTACATCATTATTATACGAATCCATTACTTGACTTCTTAACTTTCATATAAAAACTATTGTGACATCACAACTGTGGAAGTGAAACGATATCATATGATTGATATCCACTGTATAAAGAAGTAAACATGATAAATTGGCGTACATACCTGTGATGTTATAAACGCTGGGTTTACAGACCATCTGGTTCTTCTCCAAACCCATCTCTGCCAACAGCGTACTACTAAACAGGTCGCCCTACAATGCAAAATTTTTTGCTTAACATTTACTTTTGAGAGTCATATACATGCACATGTATAATTAATTAAGTAAATATATCAAAGACATTTCATGAGTCAAAATCTCCTGTACTCATAATTTTTGTGATCAAGTTCAACAAAAAACAATTACTGTATCGAAGGCGCGACTGTCATCCACATAACTGTTAGTGCTGATAGCATGGATCGAAGCATCAAATCGGAACAAGGCCATCTACAAAACAAAAATATAAAGATCTTATAAGCTCAGCATTAAATTACCCAACAGATTTTCATGAAATATACCCTGTATTACCTATACATGTATATACATGTATTTATCTGTTGAAATGTTTTATATAATATAAATAAACTCATTTTACATGGGAACTTTTCCTGAACTTTGTCACCTTTCTTTTTGCCACTTTCTTTGTCTTCTTTTTAGGTTTTTCTGGCCTCTCTGTTACCTTGTTAGGTTTTTCTGGCCTCTCTGTTACCTTGTTAGGTTTTTCTGGCCTCTCTGTTACCTTGTGGGGTTTTTCTGACCTTTCTGTAACCTTTTTAGGTTTTTCTGGTCTCTTTATAAAAGATTTGTCATTGAAAAAACATTCTAAATCAGCATATCCAGTCATCCAATCCAAAATATATTGATATACATTGTCTTTTTTTTTAAATTTTAGAAATTTAGTTCTATTAATAATGCAATCCTCAATAGTACGACATAAATCCGGCGATTTATTAAGGGATCAATTAAGTTTTTTTTTTTTTAAATAAATCAATTTTGTTTAAAAGAGATACAATACTAAAAGCCAACTGACATAAAAGTTATTGATGGGTTTTACCTTTACTTATTGAAAATGAACAAAGCAAAAACTGGACAACAAAACAGTGTTGATTTGAATAACTTCAACAATAAATGAAAAGATGAATTAAAATGAAAGGAAACTTGAAAAAAACGAATATGGACTCACTACACCCTCATATGGACTCTATATAAAAACAAAACACCTATGCACCATCCATAAATGTAGAAAACCAGACAAAAACAAGAGAAATTTAGTAGATTTCATCATAACAAATAAATAATAAAATAATGAGAAACGTATCAAAACTCCAAAAATTTATCGACATCCTATAAAGAAATTTAAATCGACATTACATCTTAATGATCTATCAATTCCAGCTCTACTTTATAACCTATTTAGGTTTTGCTGTCCTTTGTATTATCTTTGTTTAGTTTTGTTGTTCTCTTTTTTACCTTTCTAAATTTTGCCTCCTTCCCATTTTAGATTTTACCAGCCTATTTTTTATTTACCTTTTTAGGTTTTGCAGGTCCCTTTTTTCTTCATTTTTTTTGGTTTTGATGTCCTTCTTTTTTTTAACCTTTTTTCTGTCCTCTTTTATCACCTTTTTTTTGTTTCACTGTCTACTTTTTTTTTTTTTAACCTTTTTAAGTTTTGCCTCTTTGTTCCCTTTTGGGTTTTTGTCATCCTCTTTCTTACCTTTTTAGGTTTTGTGGGTCTTTTCTTAGCAAAGAATGAGTTGATATCAGTGCTAGGTTCATCAAAGCTTGTAGGGGCCCTCTGTCGTGAGGAAGCTGTGTTCTCTACATCCAGATACTCTCTGAGGAGTAACTCCACCTATAAATAAAGAAAAGAAAATGTCAACCCTTCAATTAGAAATAAATACACTCAAACCTTATTATCTCAAACCTGATGGGACTAAGAAAAAACCTCTAGATATCTGAAGATTCAAGATATTGAGGGGTAAAATATATAAAGAAAACATGGTTGGGACATCCAACTCACTTCAAGATATCCATGGAATTCGAGATAATAATGTTAAAGATACTGAAATTCAAGTACCGGGTACTGAGTATTTACATGTACTTACCTTTTGTCAGCTTTGCTGAACTACTCCAGTTCTATTGATTGCTCAATGTACAGCAATGAAGTTTCCAATTCATTTTGACTCACAGAATGAATTTTGTATTTTTTACAGATATATGTATAGGAGTTAAAATGATTTAAAATAAGTATGAACCTTTGTAAACTAACAAACCAAGCATGAGGGTCATTTGACCAATACACCAACCTATTATATAATGGCTATTGTGTAAAAGTAAGTAATGAGGACTGTTTATTTCAAACACTTTGTGCCTCATAAAAACTTACCACAGCTTGTATTTTGGACCAGACATCTGTCATATCATACAGGCATTCCTGTCTGACAGGTACCCCCGACACCTGGAATTAAAAACAGGTGCACAGAATTATCAAACACGACAATCACCTGATGTAGTTATCGATCTATTTTAATGATTATCTAACTAGAGTGTTCAAGAATCATGTATTCCCTCCTCAGGTACCCCTTTTTTTGACTGGGACTCCTTCCACACATATGGACAGTTGTAGAGGGTGAACAGACAACTTACAAAGTGAACCCTTTGTTCTATAAATAACTCAGAAATCACAATTGTCTAATCCCCATTCACCAAAGCCAAAAAGAAAAATTAAGTTTAATTATGAATGAATGAAAGAAAAGGAAAGTTCATGGTATATTTACAAGGTTGTCTCCAAATTCCAATGACTTTAAATTGTTAGAAAAATATCAATATCCACTGAAGCAAAGCCAAGGTCATCTGATATTTTTTCATCGATATCAAACCATATTGAACACCTTAGATGTCAATACTTAATTTATCATGTACATGTCAGGAAGAATTTGAAAAAATGATGCAGAAGGCTGCACTGCATTGAAATTTTTCTGAATGAATTTCAATCACAAATGCTGACAGAGCATATTTTGAGACCATTCTAAATAATACAGTAATAAATTACAAACACCTATTCAATTCATTATATATGTATTATGATTTCAAATATTAGTGTGAAATATTTTGTTTGTTGTAATCTACTATTAAGAGAAAATGAATTGGGCATATAAACAATGTTACAAAAACAAAAATATTTATATTTATGTACATGGATTTGTGCAACAGCTGTAAATATAGGAGCTACACAACAAAGCATTCCATGTTTTGACAAAAACTTCTATTTCTTTTAATTGGCCTGCGATTTTTTTTTTTTTTGGGGGGGGGGGGGGGTCTCATTTGTTTCTTAACATATTCCTTAAAAAACTATTACGAGTAAAAAAACATTCCTCTAGACTGAAGCAACCTAAAAACCCCTTAATATCAACATCAAATGGCATCTAGCACCTGTATAGAAATTTGGAACAGTACACTAAATCTCTGAGCTTGTGTGTGGAGGGGGATGGGTGATTAAAACAAAATTATATGAATTTCATTAAAAGGCTAATTACTATTCTATCAGAAATTAATTGTGTCACTATTTGAAAGTTACAATCACTTCACTTTTTGGGTTTTTTTTTTTTTTTTGGGGGGGGGGGGGGTTGTAAAATATGTGTGTGTGTTGGGAGGGAGGGGAAGGGGGCTACACAAATCAATAATAAATATAAATAAACCAGTCTTGCAAAATTTAAATTGTCTAGCATTCCTACATGGCAAGCATTTCAACTAAGCATGCTTTTCACCGCAATACCTTTGGGTGGGATAATACAGGTCAGGGGAATGAACACACAATTATCTTGTCAATATAACAATACCTTTTAAATATTTCATGATAATGCATTGAAAAACAAAAGTTTATATTGTATTCTATGTCATGTGACAAAAAATGTTCATGCTTTATACATGTACCTATTGTATTAATATTCAGCTCAGTCATACACAACCTTCTGTGTAAGATGTATTACATGCATTCAAGATAGGAAATGATTCAGTTTTGATCTTATACAAAATTCAAATAATAGATATTTCAGACCTGTTTACCCATACTGTTGTCTCTCAGTATTTTTTATTAGATTCATCAGTGAGATTTGGCATTTGCCTGTAAGATTTCACTTTCCATCGATTTTGCTAGATAATAACTACATTTCCTATTACCAAATCATGGTTAACAAAGAAAAACATCATGCTTTCTTTGGAGGGTTTCTGTCATTTTTTTAAACCACCGCGATTTAGCAGCCCGAAATTTTTCACTGTTTTACCGGTTAAAAAGCATCAAACTGAGAGAGATCATAAAGAAAACTAACTGCTAAAATACAAACAAAAGGATTTCCGATTTCCGTATTTTCACAATAGCAAAACGTGAGACGTATTTTGGACTCAAAATCCATACAAAATATGGCGAAATCGTAAGAGTAAACAGGTCTGATATTTGGAAAGAAGTTCTTGGTTAAATTTTTACATTCCTACATTCTAGTAATTTCTCATGCTGAAGTTTTATTTTTGTATTATGATTGCTAGTGTATCATTGAAATTTTGCAATAAATGTCAAGCAATCATAGATTCTAGATTCATATAGAGTGTCTTTATTTCCCAGGCAAATCATATAAAAAGTAAACATTTAGATGTAAGGTATCTGAAAAGAAATAAAAGAAAGTAAACAAAAAACTGGGCATTCCAAAAACAGCAGGGTACACAAGTTACCTCCCTTGGGCTTCCTGATGACTTTTGGAAAAAAAAATAGAAACAAGGATTGGTGATGAATGTTCATTTCCATATGGATTTGTGATGAATGTTAAATAGGTCTGGATGATTTTCATATGCATTTGTGATGAATGTTAAATAGGTTTGGATGATTTCCATACATGGAAGTCAAGAACGATACCTAAAAGTTGCTAGAAATATGCTTCATAAACAAGTAATGTTTCTCTGACCAATCAGGAAGCAGCATTTACACACACCCACAAACAGACATACAAGAAACAATATGAGAACACATGCTTCTGCTTTTCCTCAAAATGATTTTTGTGACAAAAAGTCTTTAAAAGTAAGGTGAACAGTTTGGAAGAATTAGGTTTTCCCCGAATATTTAGTAATTTACTGTGAACAAACTTAACATTTTTGTCTCAAAAAAAAAGCAACATACACATATTAATACAAGTAACAAGGTACGGTGATATTCCTTACAGAGGAATCACATGACACCCATGTAGTGTCAATTACATGCATGTGGTATTTCTGGTTCATGCTCTCTTACTTAAAACTCCTACTTAGCAGTCCATTCTTTTGTCGATTTTGTGATGTTTTTATGTGTATAGATAAGTATAAGCTAGGAGTTTTAACAACAAAATGTGACCATATTCAGGTATGCTGAATGTATTTTACATGTAGACTATAAACAGGCAAAGGCGTTAAACTCGCGGAACAGAGAATGAAAAAAAAATGCTTTTTAGCACTATATAATCTTGCCACACATACAGACAATTTAGTTTTACTCAGAAATTAAGATTGTGTTACTTTCATATACCCAGAGTTAAAACAAAGCCCTCATGTTGACCAAACTTGCATGGATGATACATCTAAGGATGCACATTACTGGACTTGCTTCGGATGCTGGATCTGACCTACATTTTCCAGATGATCATCACTCCAGGCTCTCAAACAGGAAATCTACCATATTTATACATGTATCATATTTCCAATCACAAATTGGATTGCAATCTTATAGTGACAGATTTAAATTTCATGAGAATGAATTTTAAAGATTTCAAGTCATGTTTGTTCACAGTAGGATTGTTATATTTGCTGTTTTATTCCTAAATGAGCATGAAGTTTACAAATGTTTTGTTCTAAAAAAAAAATCTTTTGAGCGAAAATATGAAAATCCACATTTTATTCATTTGGGTTTGTCCAAGTGATGTGATTTGATTGGTTAGAATGTGAAGCACATTGTTTAGTTTGTGTATTTATAGCCCTTCACAGTTATCCATCTTGACTTCCATGTAAGGAAATCATTCAGACCTGTTCAATGTGCTAAAGAAATCATAAACATTTCGAACAATTCATTTGAAACAAAGAAATGGTGGTTAGCTGCCGAGCAACAAAACCAAAGTCATGTGGCACTAGAAAACTAGTCTAACTGAAGGAAGGTTTTCTTACAGTAAAAACACCAGAAATCTGAAAATTTAATTACAAACTTCAAAGAAATTCTGAATCTATGAATTTTCATCAGTGACACTTAAAATTTTTATTTCAGTTGAGGAGTCTATGGATTAAAACATCTGAAAGCAGTCTCTCCCTCTGAAGAGAATTTAGTAAGACACCTGCATATCACCTCAAAATAAATAAGACCGAAAACTTCTATAATCTATAGAACTTCTCCTTCCTATTCTAAATTTTTTTTATCTCTCCTTGAAAAATATAAGCTAGAAATAACATGGAAGAATGCACATTAATGAAATCTAAGGTATATTATAACACTGTCTGTGACACTTACTATGATTTTGTGGAGATTCCTAAGAACAACTTTGTGCATGTGGGCCACAAATCGGAACTGATGAAAGATACTCTCCAGAAAATCCAGCAGACACTGGGATTGATTTGAGGCATCCACATGGTTAGACGTGCTGTAAAGATTTGGAGTTTTGTTATTTTATTACTGTAGATATGGAAATTAACAATGATGCCTTTAATTTCATTATGTTCATGATTAAATTAAAATGCATATTCTATAAATAGATGTACTAATTTCCCGTCTTTTTTTTGCTCTATACAATGAATTCTGTGTACCTTTCCAGTATGGCCTGTGATGTCCTAGCTACAATGGCTGACAACTCAGGTTGGATTTTCACTTTTAATCCCTGTCAAAAAAGCGATTTTGGTATCATGTTTGAGTACATATAGAGATTTTTGTAACTAACCATGATTTCTGGGACCAATTTTTGCTTGTATAAAATTCCATTTCAAGGGAATACATGTACTGCTTTGGGTGGGTTAAAAGCAATTTTCCTTCCAAAGTAACTTTGACATTTAGAATTCAATGTACCTATAACTTATCCTGCACCACAACCCCATCTTTTCAGATTTTTTTTTCATATATGTTAAGTTGAATCATCTATGATTTATTTTTACTTTTGCATGTTGTTGTTGTTCTTTTTTTTTTTTTTTTTTTTTTTTTTTTTTTTTTACAATTAATCTCATTTCAGTCACCTGTGTTTGCTATACAATATTGGTTTGTGGGGATGATTTTGTATTGAAGGAGAATTAAGTTGTTAGGAATTTAAAATTGTATATTTTGTGAAGGACAGAAATTGTGGGTCTCTTCATACCAAGAAAACAAGGAAAATTAAACCCCCACAAAAATGAGGGATTTCACAGTACACAGTCAAACCTTGTTATCTCAAATATGATGGGATTGAGAAAAAAACTTTTTTTTTGAGAGTAAAATACTTAAAGAATGAGTTTTGGGACTTCTGAAACACTATAACATATACATTGTACATGGTATTTGAGATTTCAGTGTTTGAGATACCGACGTTCAGCTGTATATACAGTTGAATTCTGGTATCTTGAACACTGATACCTCAAAAACAATGATTATGCCCAGGTGAATTTGAAAACCAAACCATTTTTTCTTAATGTATTTTAACCTCAATATCCCAAATTCTCTCATAGTTTTTTTCTTGGTACCACTGAGTTCAAGAAAATGGGATTGTAATATGACAACAACGTTTTGGTTGATACCTCAGCTGCTTCCGGGATTTTCCTCAGCATGTACAGAGATTCCACCAATATGGCTATGAAATGGGCGGGGTCGTCTTCTGGGTTGGCATTCAAATCCTCCTTTACTTCCTTACCAAACTCAATTTTTTCTGGAGCTGGGATACCATTTACTCCTTCTAAAAGTTAATACACCAATCACAATAAGATTTTACAAAAACTATGTATCAGACAGATTTGAAAATTTTTTTAGGGATGAAAATTTATTCAAGATTTTCCAATAATTATTTACTTCTTTTTAGGGTATCCTGCTTCACTACAGAGCTCCCCCTTTTCCCTGGGAGTGAGGAGATGTTTGGTGACTTAATGTAGATTTGTTTGTTCAATTCATCTATTAATACATCATGTAATTGCTGCAAAAAAAAACCCCACATCATTCATTCGCCATGCAAAACACAAATAATACTGTTGAATCACAAGCAATAGAGAAAAGAAGGACTGGTATTCAGTCAGCTGCTGCTGGGATCACTGATTAACAATTCATGATTGTACCTCTTTTCTTGTAATCAGTTCTGCTTTTAAATCCCTCAGAGCTTCTACCCCCACAAGCTGATTCTCCAGTTTTGCAACTTAATAAAAAAAAAGATCATGATCTGTAACTAGTACAGGTAACAGGCTTACAAAAAATTGATTAAAGAAATTTACCACTGTGATGAATATGAAATATGACTCATGTTTTCATGTTAAGATAAAACCGTTACATACAGTAAATTTATCTCAAACATCAGATAGAGATTTGTATTGGAAAATGCCTCAGCAATACAGAGCAAACTAGGTTTTATATTTTGTAATTTGTAGAAATGAACAAAACAGTTGCTGCATAATGTAGGAGCAATTTTACCTGCATTGACTACCAACTCTGTACCATGGAGGTAATGTTTCTTTGCCAGTAGATTATCTAATTTGGTTGGCACTTCCTTGATCTGTTCTCTAGAAAGACAAAATCCAGAAATCAATCAGTGACAAAATCCCTGACAACAGAGTCATCAATGAATGATAATGAAGCTTTGCTTACATCTGATCCAACATGGCTACCATTGTCTTCTGTTCCACTCCCTCTATCCACAGTCGACGTAATTCATCCCTCTTACAATGTAACAGGGTTTTACAGCTGCTCAGATCATCTTTTATTTTCTTAATTTTCTCTCTTGCTTCTGCAGAAATTATTGTTAAAATTTTACTTATAAAAGCATCACCTCTGAAGAGATAATTGTACATCCATGCTAATAATTCTTAAGTGAAAATTAGGCTTCTTTGTTTTTTCTCTTTACTTGACAATACAGAGAGAGCTCTTTTAATATATTGTGAAGATGCATGAATTTATGGCATGTCAAACGTTGCAATATTCGATCTTTTGCATTTGCATTGTATAATTTTCCATTTGCATTGTATAATTTTTATTTGTATTGTATAATTTTCTATTTGTATTGTATAATTTTTCATTTGTATTGAATAATTTTTATTTGTATTTTATAATTTTCTATTTGTATTGTATAATTTTCATTTGTTTTGTATAATTTTTATTTGTATTGTATAATTTTCCATTTGCATTGTATAATTTCTTATTTGTATTGTAAAATTTCTTATTTGTATGTGATAATTTTTCATTTGTATTGTATCCGCGGACTGTTTATTTGTTTCGTTACGAAGGATTTCATTGGTCAAGTTTCAGCCTGTATCGGGTTGAAGATGTTCCGGATGCTCAAAGCAAACTGGGCTCATATGTATTTGCTTGCTTGATTGATTGATTATTGTTTAACGCCGAGTCGGCAATATTTCAGCCATATTTCGGCGGCATATGTATTTGCGTGCATGTTAGACGGTCATTGGATTCTAAAAAGGGAGCGCTGGTAGATGGCAAAGAAATAATCTGTCCTTAGGAATGCTGACTGAGAAAATAAATAAATTGACCTTGAGTGGTGGTAACTACCCCCACCCCCAAAAAAACTGAGTTTTCGGGTTTGGGCCGATTTTCTTCTTTTTGTTTTTCTCCTTGTCTCTGGTCATATTGGAAATAAATATTCTCTCCTGCGAGAGAATGAAAATAAATAATCGGATTCGACACCCCCCGAGAATCAAATGGTCATCCCTTAGCATGCACTGCAAATAGAGGAGCCGAGTTTGTGTTTGTAGAGAGTGCGCGATCGGAATTGTGGGAAGGGTACCAGACTAAATTTGTGATGGGCACCTGAGACCTTTATACAGACTAAATTTTATGACCAATGACATCTTTCGTAACGAAATAAATAAACAATCCTCGGATACAATACAAATGAAAAATTATCGCATACAAATAAGAAATTATACAATACAAATAAGAAATTATACAATGCAAATGGAAAATATAGAATACAAATGAAAAATTATACAATACAAATGATTTTTTTTACAACACAAATGGAAAATATAGAATACAAATAAACATTATACAATCCAAATGGAAAATTATAAAATCCAAATGGAAAATTACAGAATACAAATAAAAATTATACAATACAAATTGAAAATTATACAATACAAATGAAAAATTATACAATACAAATGAAAAATTATACAATACAAATAAAAATTATACAATACAAATGGAAAGTTATACAATACAAATGGAAAAGATCGAAATATTGCAACGTTTGACATGCCATATGAATTAAACAAATTGATTTTTGTTGAACCTACACTGGTAACTCAAGAGGAACCTACCGTTGACAGATTTACTGATGGTGCTGAAATCCTGTGTTATCTGGGCAAGTTCCTGATAGTTTTCTACAGAATGAAAAGAAAGTCAACTCTTGTTTATATATGCTAAATTCAATAAAATAGTTTCAATGTTCTCAGTCATTCAAAAAAAAAAAAGGGAAAAGTATAAATTCATTACTCTAAGTACAATGCTCTGCTCAAATTGGGTAGGTATGCTTAATAAACCTTTGATACAGTAGAAATCATATACAACTCTCTTACATACAGTTGAATGTTGGTATCTAAACCATCAATATTCTAAACACCAGGTACATGTATATATTGAAGAGAGTTGGAAGTCCCAACCATATTTTTTTTTTCATGTTTTTTGATCTCAATATATATGGAATCCTCAGATATCTAGAATATTTATCACAGCCTCACAGAGTTCAAGATAACAAGGTTTGACTGTAAATTATTTGTAAAATGAGATGGACCGAGAGTCAAAATGCCACATGAATGAGAACATTACTGAAATGTAAAGACAGGCAGATTTAAGAAAGTGACCCCATTTTGTCGAGTCTGCTTTGAAGTTGAAACAAAATGGAGCTGAATAATTACCAGAAACAAGCTCTCCCAGTCTTTTATCACTCTGGGTAAAAGTTTTCTCTATCCTGGCCTTTTCTTTCTCTCTTTGTTCAAAGTCTGCACTGTAAACATTGCAAACATATGAAAGTTGATTAAAATGAAGAAAGTGGTGGTATTTTCAAAATAAATATTGTTCATTAATGAAGATCATTATGAAAATACATGCATGTGCATGTATCTATATCATGTATATGTTATGATATGAGGAGCAAGATCAACATGCGTAGTGCATACATAAGACTGTTAAAATTGAAGCCTGCATGTTGATCATTAAAAAAAAGTCAATGCATTGAACATTCTGAACATTCTGAAATTCCCCAACTCCCATTCCAGAGTATGTATGTTATGATATGAGGAGCAAGATCAACATGCGTAGTGCATACATAAGACTGTTAAAATTGAAGCCTGCATGTTAATTATTAAAAAAAAGTCAATGCATTGAACATTTTGAACATTCTGAAATTCCCCAACTCCCATTCCAGAGTATGTATGTTCCACACTGGAAAATTAATAAATGTTAATGCTCACTGCTGAGGTGTGGAATCAGGGTGTGTTTGCATGCTCTTAAAAAACTTGTCTCAATGTGTGTTTGCATACTTTCTTTAAGGATTTTTTTAGTAGAATTGAAATTATGGTAGTACATGTATGAATCAAAAAATTTGCATTCACTACAACAATGAGCCAAATCTTAATGCCAGTTTTCTTGTATTAAGAATTCTTACCTTGTAGATAAAGTTCTGACAATGGCCATAAGAAACTCCGACTGAAATGAGATTATAAAATGTACAGGCCCGTATCTAATGACAATGCCAATGCTTGTCACCTATAGTTAGTCATTTTCACTCTGAAGTGATCTTGAATGACCTGACTGTGTTATAAACCTACTTCACCCAAATAACAACTAATAGTGACAAGTTTGGGTTGAGAACATGATTTGCATACATTAAATCTTTGTTAAAGTAATTTGCATACACTAAAAATTTGTTAAAGTAGTAGTTTTGTAAGTATTTTGTTCCAATAATAAGTACTATCTTTCTATATTCCTAAAATCCTTATTTATACTTTATTATCTGAAATAATTAAAGTATCACATCTGAAAAAAGACTAGTAAGCCTTTCTGCTAGGAGTACAGAAACCTAGCTCTAGGGCTTTTGAGACCTTTTGGACACAAGTGGGTCCTCAGCTACTATAAAAAGATGGAAAAAATGTTTTGTTGCTTTTGAAAAAATGCTGGTGTACGTTGTCTGTTGTTGGGGATCAACATCATTCCAAATTGACTCCATCAAGAAACACGAAAATTTGAAACCAACAAATCAAACAGAATACAAACTTGAAAGTAAATAAAGTGTTACTTTAAATAACACAAGTTCAAACATGTAACTAGTATTACCTTCACATTTATCTTCACTATCCTTCTCTGAAAATGATGCAAGTGAATCAAGAGTATAATAAGATACTCTATGAATCTAAAGCACATTTAAAATTTCTTTTTTTGGGGGGTTGGGGTTGGGGTTGGGGGGTTGACATTTTCTGAACCCCATTCAGACAACTTGAGATCGGTACCATGGGTGTGCAATTACCATCACCTGATGCCAGGGGCTACCAATTTTAGAGGTCGGGCTATCATGAATCTATAATGAGTTAGCCCATTGGGCTAGTAAATCTAAAACAAAAGTATACATATATTTACGTCGACTGAATTGATGTACGAATTAACTTTGTTGTAAAATCATAATCTTTAATTCGTTTTAACCTATATGTATTGTGTGTTGCTATTGCCAGTCGTTTCAGTGACAATTATAGTCGATAAAGGGCTTTTTGTTATACATGTATTGTTTTCGGTAGTTAATGGGCTAGTGACTGGCAACCTCAGACTAGTAACTTTGTTACTGCCACTAGCCCGACGGGCTTGTAACTAATTTTTGTAATTGCATACCCCTGGGTACCTTGGCTTCCTGAAATAACGAGACCAAATATCTTGATGAGTGTCGAACTCTGCAAGGTTAAATTCACAATAGCTGTGAGACTGTAACACATTTCATGATCAAATTACATTAATTTCCCAATTTTATTATCTTTCTCTTATTTCTAGAAGATAAAATCAAAACGATTAAAAATAAAATCTAATGTTTATAATGATGGGTGAGACAATTCGGGTTATATAAGTTTACCCATACGGTGTGGCCTGCAATTTCACAACGATTGCACAGATGTAGCATTTTGTTACAAATGTTTGACTTTTTATACCGTTTCTCTTCCTTTGGCAGCAGGGTTAACAATCTTTTCCCCATTTTTCTCCATTTTCTGCAACAGGGAGGAAACCGGATGTTTAGAAAAATCCTGATTTACGAGTCCGATCGATTTATTTTTTAAAAGAAAGAAAGAAAACGAAAAACTAACCAGATATTCCCACAAATAAAAAATTTACTTCCACAACTCCAAAAACTTTTAAAATACTAATGAGACAATTTGAACAGATTTTTATTTTGTTAAACGTACATTTACCATAAATCAAAAAAATAAAAAAAAAATTAAAAAAAAAATGAAGTTTAAATATTTTACTTTTAAAATCTTAGAGTTAAAATGCCTTTGAAAATAAGAAAATTTATGTTTTTGAACTAAAATTTCAAAATACGAAATCAGTTTGAGTACTAAAATTTTAAAATCATGAATTTTAAAATTCTGAAACAGTAATTCATTTTAGATCAATTTCAAAAAGTTGACGCAGACTGCACAGTAGCAGTACAGCATTAGCTCTCCGAGCCTTCAATTAAGAAATTTGAATCGTAAAGTGTTATACACGGAACATGAAAGGTTTGGGTTTCTCTAACCCGGCTCATACCTCTAAAAGAAATTTGCAACCAGTCATCTTTAGAACTTCTATGTTAAATTCTATGTTAAATTGTCCTTGAAAGCTCTGCGTATCCTGGTTATATAAGAAACATACATTGTACATGTATTTATTTATGTTCAATCGAGATATTTGACAAAAATTATGAACTTAATATTTTTTAAGACACTTGACATGACTAAATACAATATTCAAAATCTTATGCTTTCAACGGAAGGTTAATGCAAGATCATCGAAAATGCACTTACCGTGTAAGAAATATGAAAATCAATTAAAATTTTGATGTCATTGCCAGACTAACAAGCATTCTGAGAGTATTGCATTAGCAATACTAGTCCCCTACCGGTAAGTGTAATTTGGTTCCCGTTAGGAATTGAAAATGTCATAATTCCGTCAAAAATCAATAAAGCGGAACGAAATGCAAACTTGATCTATAACTTATCAAGGTAAAGTCACATACCAAAAATCAGCTCAATATCAAAAAGCATTTAGAAGAAAATTGCGGAAATCCTTAAAAATTGAAAAGGCCATAATTCCGTCAAAAATCAATGAAGCGTAACGAAATGCAAACGTGATCTGTAACTCATCAAGATACACTCACATACCAAAAATCAGCTCAATATCTACAAACGTTTTGGAAAAAAGTGCGGAAAACCAAGTGGGACAGACTGACAGGCAGACAGAGGGACAGACCGACAGACAGACAGACAGACGAACGGACAGACTCAGAGGAAACCTATAGTCCCCTCCGGTTTCAACGGTAGGGGACTAATAACCACAATGAATGATGATTTAACTTTCACTAGTCATCAAAGTGTTAATTTACCTATAAGTACAGTAGTTTCTTACATTACAATTCGAGTGATTCTTTATATACAACAAGCATTCTGAGAGTATTGCATTAGCAATACTAGTCCCCTACCGGCAAGTGCAATCTGGTTCCCGTTAAAAATTGAAAATGCCATAATTCCGTCAAAAATCATTGAAGCGGAATGAAATGCAAACTTGGTCTATAAGTAATCAAAGTAAAGTCACATACCAAAAATCAGTTCAATATCTCCAAGCGTTTAGAAAAAAAAATCGCAGAAAACCCTTAAAAATTGAAAAGGTCATAATTCCCTCAAAAATCAATGAAGCGGAACGAAATGCAAACTTGATCTGTAACTCATCAAGATACACTGACATAGCAAAAATCAGCTCAATTTCTGCAAGCGTTTAGGGAAAAAGTGCGGAAAACCAAGTGGGACAGACTGACAGAGGGACAGCTAGACAGACAGAGGGACAGACAGACAGACAGACGGACGGACAGACTCAGAGGAAACCTTTAGTCCCCTCCGGTTTCACCAGTAGGGGACTAACAAGCATTCTGAGAGTATTGCATTAGCAATACTAGTCCCCTACCGGCAAGTGTAATCTGGTTCCCATTAAAAATTCAAAATGCTGTAATTCCGTCAAAAAATCATTGGAGCGGAACGAAATGCAAACTTGATCTATATGTAATCAAGGTAAAGTCACATACCAAAAATCAGTTCAATATCTGCAAGCGTTTAGAAAAAAAAATCGCAGAAAACCCTTAAAAATTGAAAAGGTCATAATTCCGTCAAAAATCAATGAAGCAGAACGAAATGCAAACTTGATCTGTAACTCATCAAGATACCATCACTTACCAAAAATCAGCTCAATATCTGCAAGAGTTTAGAAAAAAGTGCGGAAAACCCTTAAAAATTTAAAAGGCCGTAATTCCCTCAAAAATTAATGAAGCACTTGATCTGTAACTCATTAATATACACTTACATACCAAAAATCAGCTCAATATCTGCAAGAATTTAGAAAAAAAAGTGCGGAAAACCAAGTGGGACAGACTGACAGACAGACAGCTAGACAGACGGACAGACTCAGAGGAAACCTATAGTCCCCTCCGGTTTCACCGGTAGGGGACTAAAAATAAGAATACCAGCTGACATAGAATCCTTTATTCAGCTACATGTATACATGTACATTCTAGAAGTAATTTACATAATATTACATCGCCTTTAAGTAAAGCTACTGTTTCTTCGATACAAACAACCTCAGGCAAAAAATGTGGATCTTGGGTCCGGCAAAAACGCCCTCCAACCCAGTCGATAAATGTATAAATGTATAATGTTGATACTTTTACACTGTATGCTGATACTTCTTCATTGTATTATGATGACATTATATCATGCTGATACTGGAACATGACTTTTTTCTGAGTACAGTATTTTACTCTAGTAAATTTTCCTTTAGATGCTGGTTGCCCCCCCCCCCCCCCCCTTGATGTTGTTAGGTCGAGCAATGGCAAATTCCAGGATTTGGACAGTAAATTAGGCTTTTTTTTTTGCTTAATTGTCAGATTTTTTTTGGGAAAGTACCCCCCTCCCACTTTAAAAACCGTTGCTATGGGCCTGCATGCTGCTACTTTATCATGATATGAAGATGCCCAAAATTGTGATGGTTATTTGTCATTTCTGATGAAATTCATAATGTTTTGCTGAAAACTGAAATTTCCGTAAAGCAAGACGAAGGGTGATGAGTTTCAACATGTGTGGAAAACATCTTGGATTATTTTAGAAACTGGAGTTGCAACTTGCTTACCAATATTTTGAAATGAAATGTGACGATAACAAATAGTGATCATACCCAAAATCCATTTAAACGATACAAATTGTGAGCAGAGCAAATACGGAACCTGAAAACAGAGGTGGGATCAAGTGTCATAGAGGAGTAAGCATCTCCTGTCAACCGATAAAAGTACTAGTGAAAAAATGAGGCAAAATATTGTAATTGGCATGAGAGATGATAAAACTTAGAATACCTAGTGTTAAGTGTGGTTGATGTCTAGATATCAAATCCAGTTCAGGCTGAAGTGGGACCACCTATGTTTGATAATCCATAATCGACATTAGAGAGTTTTCTTGAAAAAGACGATCACATCGTTGACGACGTTGCTAAATAAGAAAGGGCTATTTACGTACGAGAGAGAGAGAGAGAGAGAGAGTATTTATCGCAGAATGAATGAAATGAGTAAGTTTTTGGAAATCAATGAAAATTATCTTAAAAAAGATTGGACGTTTAAAAAAATCTTCAATATGATGAAAATACATCTATTTTGAAATGTACTAGATGTTTAAGAAAAATTATCACTTGTCTCTTTGAAATGTTTGATTCCTGAGCAAACTGTTTACAGACAATATATGACCTTATTTTTGTTCCTTTCAAAATATTCGTAAGGATGTTGCAACCCCAGTTTCTCCAAAACATGAAAAGTGGTCGCCCACGTGGCGCAGTGGTTAGAGCGTTCGCTCTGGAGTCGCGGAGTAAGGAGTTGATCCTTACGTCGCGGGTTCGAATCCCACTGTTGGACGTGGAGACCGGGCCTTCGGATGAGACCGTATAAACCGAGGTCCCGTGTCGCAGTAGGTGTTGGCACGAAAAAGATCCCTCACTGTTCGATGGCCCTGAGTGCCGAGTATAGGTCAAAATTTGCAGCTCTCCAATGGCAAGTGGAGACGTCTCCATATGAGTGAAATATTCTCGAGAGGGACGTTAAAACACGTTAAAAACAAACAATCAAACATGAAAAGTGTTTTTCACACATGTTGAAATGAGTTCCTGTCTTACTATCCGGAACTTGATTCTAATTAAATTTAAGCAAAAATAAATTTGGAATTACATCAGAAAATGACAATCATCATATAACAAAGAAGTATAAAGTATAATCTTATAATGTCAAAGTACCACTATAGGAACAAGGATCATCCGATACAGTCAGACTATTAGCATATAATGAATAATAATCATTGTCAGCATATATTGAATAATAATCATTGTCAGCATATATTGAATAATTATCATTGTCAGAATATAATGAATAATAATCATTATCAGCATATAATGAATAATTATCAGCATATAATGTATAGTATCATCATATAGAGAAAAAACTATAAGCATCGACATATAGAGACAAAGTATCAGCACAAAATGTTAAAGTATCAGCATATAATAAAGAAGTATCAGCATATAATAAAGAAGTATCACTTTATAAACACAAAGTTTCGAATATAATGTTAAAGCCTCAGCATATCAAGAAAAAAGTATCAGTATAGAGAAAAAAGTCTCTGCATATAATGAAGAAGTACATGTATCAGAATTTAGAGACAAAGTATAACAATGATGAGCTATCAGAAAATGAAGACAAAGTGTCACTGTGTTATACGGTATCAAATGTAAAAGGTAAATATGACGAACAGTGATCAATATCATAAATCCAGTCAACAAAACGAATCGTGAACGGACAATAACACGGACAATGGAAACACCAGAGATGGGATCAGAGGCCTAGGAGGAGGAGAAAGAGAAGTAAGCATCCCCTGTTGATCTGACACACCCGCCGTGAGGCCTATGTATTGATCAGGTATACGGAGTACTCCGTAGTTAGATTTAGTACTAGTATACAGGCAATGATCTAACAAATGGTATGAAACATTTCAGGCGAAATACGGCCCAACGATAGATTGTATTTACAAACAAGGTCATTGTCAATACCGTAGAATTTGGGAAAAGCTTACATTAAACGGGTTTGTTGAAATCCTTGTAACATCAACTTATTTGTTCGTAGCTTGCCTTGGTTTAAAAATTGATCGTACTCAGAGCATGCTCTTGCGTATCGAATCAGTTGGGAGACATAAACACCATACGCAGGCGATAGCGGAATATTACAACATAAGGGAAGTTAAAGATGGAAAAGCTGAAGTCAACCCATTAGTCATACGCTTTAGTTATTAGTTAGATATTATCGTCTACAGTCGGTAAAACATTCAAATATGAAAAAGATGGGGTAGAATCTTTAGGGTCATCAATTTCAAGTTCACTGGGATATGTGGAGTAGACATCTGAAGGAAAGTAACAATTGTTAATTTATAAAACGTCGTTGATATATCTAAATGTCGAACTGAAGTACACAGAGTTTTCTTCTTCTCATTTAGAAGTTTTTGAATAAATTCTGCTTCACATGAATATAAAAAACAGATCGGATAATAAAGGGGCATAATTAGAGCCCATCGGAATTCCAACAGTTTGTTGGAAGACCTTGTCTCCAAAGATTATATATATATATATATATATATATATATATATATATATATATATATATATATATATATATATATATATATATATATATATATTGTCAATGACGAACTTCAGCATCTTTTTGATATCAACTTCAGAGTACTTATTTGTAGAATCAGAATTATTTTTTAACAAATAATATTGCAGATGACCAATCACAAGATATGAAAATTTGCGAATTCTATTTTCATTGAACAGAAGCTATGATGTCAAAAAGCCCACTCTTTAATTTATCGTGAGGAATGATTGTATAAAAGGTAGAAAAGTCACATATGTTGTGATGCTATTGATTTTTTTAATTGAAGTTTTGAGATTTTAAATTTTCTAAAAGGTCTTTGGAGCTTTCTAGAATCCACATTTGATTTACACCACTTCTGAAACGTCTGAAGTTTCTCCTCCACAGCAGACAACGTTTTGCTCAGGCGTAAGGATAAGGGCTCGATTGAACATTTTCTGGACCCTATAATACATCTTTGTTTTTAAGAATTTACATGTATATGAACTTTTGGAATCCAGTATAGGTTCAGTATATCAAACTCACTTCCATTGACTGGAATGTTACGTAATTAAAACTGAAAGGCGATTTTGAAGAATTTCATCCTTTGAAAGGGAACTACGAGTATAAGTTGGATGACCAGATGTGAAATTAAAAAGTTCTTCAAAAATGCTGTTGAAATAATTAGCATTGCAAACAAAAGCTATATTGTTACAAGCTTTGTCTATTGTAGCCAAAACATATTTCTCTTTTAGTCTTTCTTATTCTTTTATCACTTCCAGTCAACTGAAATCGGAACGATAAATAGTTCTTATCAAATTTTGAGCTTTCATTTTCTAATGCGATTCATTAATAATTCTCTAAAATGCTTTATCCATTCAGACAGAGTATCAAGGTCTCCCCCTTTCATATTTAGCCCATCATCTAACATAATCCTCGACGGAATTCATAATAGAAATGAAGTTCTGTCGCCATATGAATGATCTGGGGCCCCTCAGTTTAGGATCCTTTAAAATGTTAGCTTTTAGATTGTCATTTTGAACTATACTTACATCACCAATAATGATGTTTTTAGCTGGACTATAGTTGAAAGAAGAGGAAGAACAAGAACTTAGGAGGACTTTGTTTTAGAGTTTGTTTATAAATAAAAAAAATTGGATGCACCGGTTTGCAAATATCTGTAGGAAATACAGCAGTACAAAGTGCAGACTTATAATGTCAAAGTATCATCATAAAATGGAGATGTATCAACATATAGTGTCAAGGCAACAACATATAATGTCAAAGTATCATCATAAAATGGAGAAGTATCAACATATAGTGTCAAGGCAACAACACAATTATATATCAAAGTATCATCATAAAATGGAGAAGTATCAACATATAGTGTCAAAGTTACAGCATATAATGTCAAAGTATCATCATAAAATAAAAAAAAAATATCAGAAAATAGAATATTATCACCATATAATGTTAAAGCATCAGCACTTAACACTGTCTAATGAAGAAGTATCAGTGTGGCTAATATAAAAGTTTCCTTTTCTAAATAAAATATCACATACTTCTTTGAGATCTAGTATTTATTGGATTAAAAGAGTTTCTCTAAGTTTAAAACATTAAAAACAAAAATACTTGTTCATGTAGAAATATTTTAAGACGGGGTTTATATACCATTGTGGTATGATGGTGTGAACAATACACTACACAGTACAAGAAAAAAAATTATTCATGAAAATATATCTATAAAATAAATTTGGAAGTACATAACAAAAAAATTAAAATTATTAATAATTCCAATATTGGATGCATATAAAACAGAGGGCGGATCTTAAAAAAAAAGATTAAAAAAATAAAGGAACAAAAATAGAAATAATCTCAAGTTTCTTCTTCTGTAACGTCTACTTCCATAACCTTTGGCGACCTATTTACACTATAATGACTAACACATAAAATAGTAGCGGCGAGTATGCTTAATGACCCTACAAAGTGGTAAGTTAACATGTAATCTCCCGAGACATCCCGAAGATACCCTGAAAAGAGAAACAAAATACACGTAATTTATACTTGAATTAATGTACTTCTATTCAAAATAAAACAATAATTTAAAAAATACATGTAAAGTTTATATTTTGTCTTTTGGTAGAAAATATCAATGACTTTAAAACTTACCTGTGATCGGTAGAATAGCACTCCATATGATACCCTGTGATAATTGCAGAACACAAAGACCACTTCTCAGGTTTTCAATACCCAGTATGTCTACCACAACCGAGGCATACAGACCATGTATAGGACCTCCAAATACACCATTTACAGCAGCAAAGGCAGCTAGAAGCCAGAATGTTTGCAAAAATCGAACTAGATTTTGTGCAATTCCAGCAATCAATAGAGATATGGCAATGACAATTTGGCGATGTATTAATTTTCCTGAGAAAAATCCACTCCCACATCGCCCGATTATCTCCCCCACCATATAAATAGATATTAATAGGGCGGCATCGTCGCTTGGAATCCCACAATCCTCTGCAACATCCGGAAGGTATACCACAGTTATAACCACTGGAACCCCTAATGTAAACCCCAATGCGAAAAAAATATATTGAGCATTTTTAAAGATAGAAGCATTGAAGAAATTTCTGATGTTTTTCTCTTCTTTTTGATATTCGGCATTCACTTTCGCATCCTCGTGATTGGTATATCCATTTGTTTGCTGTCCATTTAGATGTTTTCCATTCAGTAAAACGCTATCTGATTTTTTGTCATTAGCTGAACTAGATATTGACCCTTTTCCATAAGGTACAATCAAAATCATATCGGCACTTCCGTATATCTTTGCTTTCTGTTTAAGGTCATGATCACATATACTTCTATTTGAATAATAATGTATACTATTAGACATTTTCGGAATATCGTAACTATGAACACTAAGGGTATCCTTTGGTTTCATGGACGTATGTAATAAAATGGACGAGGAAACAGAAGACTGACAGCCATCTTTCAAAATGGAGGGATTTTCGGTCTCATTAACGTCTGAATCTTCACTTAAGACCTCCCCATCAGATTTTTTGACCAAAAGAGAAGTTCTGCAAGTTTCTTTTTTATTTTCGTCTTGCAACATTTTCTGATGGGTCCACTTTTCGTATAATTCAGGGGGACGTAGCAACATCCCTGCAGGAACGATGTGGAAAGCCAGTCCCGCCAAAATTAACAGAGCACCCTTCAAAACAAAAGCATCGATGAAGTATCTGAATACAGGGGCAAGAACTAGTGCACCAAAGCTTGCAGCAGCTGTATGAAGCCCGTTGGCGATTCCTCGTCTTGTGTCGAAATACTGACCTGTGATGATCAGAGAGGGACCAAGTACTGCTGCCAAACCAAATCCTGAAAAAAAAGATAGAAGGCTGATAAAAATTATAAACAAAATTTGAGAGAAAACTCTTTTTATTTTCTGAAAATCAAGAAAACACGAAAAAAGTAGAAGATGAATATGATCAAATGACTGAAAAAATTGAGAGAGATTTACATACCAATTAGAACACTGTGTGTAAAAACCAAATGCGTGACATTTTTGGCAAATGTGCTCAGTATGAGAGACGTTGTCACGAAGAATCCTCCAATGACGACACACTGTCGACTGCTGAAGTATTTCATTCCCACGGTCATTAGAAATAATCCTGTAAATAGAGCAAGTATTTAGACTAGAGTGTGCCAAGGAACGCATGTGTCGCCTTAGCATGATTAAAATGTGAATATGTCTCAGAGTGGTAAACTATTTATGCTGGCATTTGCCTGCAAAGAAAAATTAAGACTGCGAAAGAATAGCATTTATCAAAAAGTTTGATAATCATATAGAAATATGATTTTTCAATCCTCAAAAGTAAAATGAATATTTAGAAAGAAGTATTCATGCATTTCATTCATAAGATCCCACAGATTCATAACTAGAAAAAGATTTCAGACCGTCTTTACATTTCTTTGCAAAATGTCAATGTACAGCTTTATTTGAAGTACAATCATTATACCGACCCCGATTAATTCTCATAGTATTTAATAGTAAATTTATATGATATAGTTTAAAAGTACAATTTCATGAGCTCATAATCTTGTAATGTATATGTCAGTTATCGAAGCTCTGTATCTCAAATTGCAGAAGACCTAAGACAACCTTTGGAGTATTTTTGAAAAACAGGACAAAGTCAAGTGGACCGTAAGGCTGGTCTTTTTTCATTCTGTTAATAAGAAACAGTCCTCATGCTAAATAGCACAGATTTATTTCTCAAATGTCCAAAAATATGTTGTATATCGGCATTATGATACATTTTGAAAAATAAAATAGGTCAAGGGTCAAGTTGAAAGGTCAAAAGGTCTGTAACATGGTATTGTACAATAGCACTAGTGCCAAGCAATACATGACCAAAATATCAAATCGATACCTCAAGATATAAGATGTGAAAGACGAACAGATATACAGACAGACAGACAGACGCTAGGTAAAGGTATCCATATTAAGTATCGTTCTACTCTGCAGGCGACTATTAAGTCAAAGAGGACTTCTCAGTATAATTATATAAAAAGAATATTGACCTTGACCTTCGAGAAAGAGGCCTCATAGTATATAGGATTTTTCTTGAATTGTATAGAAATTAGAAGTCTGCGTGTTACATTTCTCTTGTACCATATAAAGTGTTCACATGAAAATAAGCCATTTTGACTTTGTCCTTTAAATACTAGTAGATGACCACAAAATCTATAGCTGTCTTCCTCTTACCATTCTTCACAAATGAACGAAAGTATTGTTTTAAGATTAAAACATAGTAGAGTTATTCAAGTCTTCCAAAACTCTGTTGGAATTCCAATGGGTCCTAATTGCGCCCCTTTATTAGCAGACTTATTTTTGTATTCATATCAAGCAGAATTTAACTTCTACATGAAAAGAAGTCCTCCAATTCAACATTAAGATATATCGACGACGTTTTATCTATTAATAATGTTCATTTTCATTTCTATGTTGATTCGATATATCCCTTTGAACTCGCAATAAAAGACACCACAGAGTCTGACACATCTGTTTTATATTTGGATATTTTACTAGAGAAAGGCATTGATGGCAAACTGACAACTAAAGTGATGACTTCAACTTTTCTATCGCCAACTTCCGTTATTTATGTAGCAATATACATTATCCCCTGCATCTGGAATTTATGTGTCCTATGCTGTTGATTCGATGATCCGAACAATTTCTAAAACGAGACAGGCTATTGACAAATAAGTTGATGATGCAAGGATATCAACAGTCTCGTTTACGGTCAAATTCTGTGGTTGATACAATGACCTTACTTGCAGAATATAATCTGTCGATAAAGCGAATTATGTCATACAACTTTGATAAAAATATTTAGGCCATTATTTTCACACTGAATTGTCTATGGATTTTTCGTTAACCCAATCACGGCGGGTGTGTTGGTCGACAGGGGATGCTACATATGTATCTCTTCCATGGCACCTGATCCAATCTTTGTTTTCAGAGGTACGTGTTGGCTTATAATTTGTGTTGTTTAACAGGACTTTTGAGATTGGTCACTGTTCGTTATAATCACATTTTATAACAATCTATTGCAGTTTTACGTGTAAAGTATCACTTAATGTTCTTTACCGGCGGCACTCATCACTGCAATCTGCACACTGACCACGATGGACATACTGGCTGAGGAGGAGTCAAATTTCTTACGGAACTCCACGAACAAAATTCCGAACCCGCGATGTATCCCTCCGTATATCATCATTGCACCCAGAGACGCTGAAATACAGATTAATAGAATAGAATATTTAAATGTAAATATAATAATCTGAATTCCTATCGGAGACATAAATATTTAGTTTACCATTGTAAAGAGCTGGAATCACTTAATGCATAAAACTGCCATCTTCGTAGATCAATTACGTACTTTTTTCCAACCTTTTTTCCCATTTTACAAATTCATATTAAGTACAAATTTAAGTAGAAAAGATGTTTAAGAGATTTCCTTCAGAGATTTCACACATTGTAAAGCAGACTTCATGAAATTGCAATGTTCTTGAATTAAACAGAAAACTAGTGTATTTGGATACATGAAAATAATATCCTGTAAAAAAAGTTTAAATATATTGCCCAAAATGGAAGAAATTGTCATGAAATTGAAAAAAATCCAACAGTTCATGATGTCATATAACCCCGAAAAATGAATACCGAAAAATTTATAGAAGTGCAAATGAATGGAACAGTTTTCATTTAAACAGAATTTAAATATGCACCTTAGTGAAGATTGCTTTTTGTTACATTTCGGTTTGTCAAAATCTGGAGTTGGAATTTTATTGAGTGGAAATAGACCCTCTAATTAATTTCTGGATCCTTCCGTGTTTGTCCTTCCTTTTAATCCACTCTCCGACAAAGACGATACAGCATAACTTATTAAATTCAAAACGAACTGAAAAGGACTCAGTTACTTAGTATACATTGTACTAAGCTAAAATAATCGATATCTTCCATAAAAGACAGTATATTAAGTGTTCATAGCCGCTACCTGGAGAAAGGATAGAAAATTTGAATTTTATGAGATTTACGCAGTTTAAAAATTCTGTTTTAAAACTTTCCAACAATTCAACAATCTGATGCTACGGTGAATGTGTATATGAAATGGTAAACAAATATTGATGTACGCTAGGTAAAATGAGAGCTACAGTGTTTAAAATGTCAGAGGAATGCATTTTACTCACCATATAAAATGACCCAAGCCCACCCTTTATCAACGGGATGAGCAGGTTCATTTTCTGTATCCTTCTGTTCCGATCCCATCGTCGCTGTTGATTTGCTTCTCAGGCAGACGACAAATGCCAGCAGGTTATTCCTTTCAAAATCACATACTTGTACGTTGCGTGGCAAGTGATGATGTTGATAACACACCGCACTGTATGATTGTCAATCGAAACAGAAAAAGAATCCCCAGTGAAAAAGCTATTAATTAAATATACACACTCGGCAAGTCGATACGTAATTCTGTAATAACTCTAAACGAGAGAGTTACGGTAGACTAAGTATTTATAAAGCCAAATATAAGGTGTCCGGAAACACACATGAAATCTACAATATTAATGTTACGTGTACTTAACAAATATCTTTCTTTTTAAATCCAACAACATGCAGCATATAAGACATTTATCCCGGAATTCTTCGAAATACATACATGCATAAACTGGAATAGTCTAAAGATATCTAATTTCTTTTTATGTGCACTAAATATCCAATCCATGCTTTGAATTAAGAATAATCTGGAAAAGAAAAATACTTAAAAATATTCCAATAGTATTTTCCAGAAGACCTGACTTCTGTTTTGAAACTTCTGAAGAATCTGGGTCTGGAATATTCTTTCATGTGGCGGTTGGAGAGGTCAATAACAGCATAGTTGTTTGTATCTCAAAGTCAGCGCGTGGATCCAGCTTGAGGTGTTTTTCCCATGAAAAAAATTACACTCTGACTGAGTATTGTTTAAAGCAGTGTAGGAAGTTACTGAATCTGCAACATATGACCGTCAACGTGATAATTCTTTCCAGGCTAAACTAGATAATTTAATTATTTTTAAGATAAATTCTACATATCAATTCTATGCATTAAAAATACTTGTAACAGTAACTGTAACAAAAATTCTATTTGCCATTACTTTTTTCCCGCCTACTTGATCAAAACATGGGGCTTACGGCGGGTGTGAGGGGATGCTTACTTCTCCTAGGCACCTTGTCCCACCTCTGGAATTCCGGGGGTCCATGTTGTATGCCCTGCTCACAGATGTGTATTGTATGTAGATTGTTTAAAGATTGATCACTGTTTGTATATCTTCACGTTTTTCAATTTAAATAAGTTGACTTGAGTGGGTTATATGTTAGCACTACGGACATTTCTATTATATATAAAACTTTACGGTTAAATAACCTTCGTTTAATTCCATCCTGTAATTTATGTACACCTTAAAAAAGAAAACTTTCCTTGAACTTTCCTTGAACTAGAGGCTAACTACATGTTTTCGTGAATGGTAGGGAATTGCAATGTAAGCAATACTGAACCTTTCTCGAATGTCTAAATGAGAAATAATACAGATCTGTAATTTGGTTCAAAAGTGGATTGGGAAAATTTTATCCATATATATTTTCTTGCATTATTGAAAATATAGCAATCCTACAGATTATCTAAATATTGTCCGTTAACTGTATCTTCGTTTACCCATAAATCTGGTGTATATAAAATGGATTTTAAAAATAATTTCACGGGATTTAATTTTACAAGAAATTCATTCTATTAAAACAATAACTTATAATTCATAAAACGTCTGGTAACTCAAGTTAAATCACAAAAGTATAACTTAATAAATAATTTTTTTTTAAATCCAGGTCCAGATTATGTACTAGAATATTCTTTTTTGTTTGAGTTTGGTGAAATAATTCACACCACGGTCGTTGGTAAATTGAAATCTGCGTGTGGATCTAGACTTTTTTTTCAAAAAAGTTCTATAAATTATTATACCGAGGATTTTTTAAAAAGTGTTCAGGTGATATTTGATTTGTAAAACAGGACCATCGATTCAAAAGTAAGACTGTTTTATAAATCTGCTCATTTACGATCAATCTGATTAAAATCAGCTGTTCTGATACGCTACAGCGTATCAATCAATCAATCAATCAGATTGATTTACGATACGCTACGATACAAGATCTAACAAATTTCGAATCGTAGAGGAGCGGATTTGATTGTTTCTAGACATTTAATTCTAAAATATTTCAGGATCATTTCAAACCATCGAAAACATTAACAATTGCTCTGACTAAATCTGATATAGATCTATTATTTGTTCCTTCAGACTGGTTTTTTGATTAACAGTTTATCTAGCTAGCCTTGTCTTCATGATTACATATAACCTCTTTTTTAAAGGCACGCTCCATTGAAATTCAAATGTCTGTGAATTTAATCAGGGTTTAATTTTTTTTTGGTGAGAGGGTAAATGTTCTTCACGCTTGTAAAATTCTAATGTGAAGACTTTCTTTAAGCTTGTGAAATCCCAAGTTATTGACGCCTGGCCTGTTTATAATGTGATTATTATTATATTAATTCACAGATGTTCACATATAAAGGACAAAAAATGATGCAGAAATTGGTAATAGGTCAAAAACATGTTGCAATGATAATAAAATGTTAAAATCATTAGGGAAATGCTTACATTAATTTTCCTTGTAACTATATATAAAGTGCTTTCTTGCCATGAATTGCTACATGAAATACATTGCAGCCGAATTGACCGTAATTAGGTGCGTAATTAGGCAATGGATATCTGAATTAGACAGGCGTTTGGGAACTGCCATGTCTCCCCCCTCCCACCGGTCTATCCTGGGAAAGGAGCATGGGGCTAAGACCCAGGAAACTGGCGAACCCCTGTTTAATAATCATATTTCACTTAATTCAGTTACATTATTGTATTCAGGTGTATTTTTTCAAAAACTTTTGAAAAAACATATAGTATGTGATTTGACGCTCCGGCGTACAGGAATATGCCTAGCAACACCACTGGTATTCATCAAGCTGCAGTAAGAAATTACATTTATCATTGTTTTACTATAATACTTGCCAAATGTTTTGAAGAAGTTGGATAATAATTTTCTTATTTTCAACATTTCGATAAAAGATACGCGACATAATTTTTTAACAGTATATTGATTGATGTCACATCCTATGTTTAGCATTCACAAGAAGTGAGTAAATAAATGGCGTATGAAAATGCATTACAATTCATTATGTCATAGACATGTGCCATCTTTGTGAGTTGACTACAATAGCAAAGTGTCGGCAAAACCTAAAACAAAAGCTTTAAAAACCCGTTGTTGCTTTATAAAAGTCTTCTTTTCGACATAAAATTTCGCATACTTGTTTGAAGCATAGTTTTTGTTTTTTAAAACATGTTTTTTGCAAAATAAAAAACTCAAAACAAAATCTCTTGATTATTTTTTTAAAAGGGTTTAGATATGGTATAACATACGACTATGGAATGATGCATTGGAAGATTCATAAAAAAGTGAAAAATATGTGATATTAATAAAACAAATTAAAACTTTTAATAATGCTTTCCAATACCTGATGCTTTAAGCATGTACATAATAAACAAATCTAAAAATTAAATTGTAGTTGCCAATATAAGATGGATATAAAACAAAAGGTGGATCCTAATAAAAATAACAAAAATAAAGGAACAAAGTTAGTTATAATCTCAAGTTTCTTCATCTGTGACGTCTACTTCCGTAACCTTTGGTGACCTCTTTACACTGTAATGACTTACACATAAAACAGTAGCGGCAAGTATGGTTAATGACCCTACAAAGTGGTAAGTTAATATGTAATCCCCCGAGACATCCCGAAGATACCCTGAAAAGAGAAACATTATAACTTACTCATTTAGTTATAGATTGTAGTTGAAAAGCAAAAAAAAAAAAAATACATCCACAACAAAATATTTCTGAATATTGGTAGAAAATACAAATTACCTGTAATCGGTAGAATAGCACTCCATATGATACCCTGTGATAATTGCAGAACACAAAGACCACTTCTCAGGTTTTCAATACCCAGTATGTCTACCACAACCGAGGCATACAGACCATGTATAGGACCTCCAAACACACCATTAACAGCAGCAAACACAGCTAAAAGCCAGAATGTTTGCAAAAAGCGAACTAGATTTTGTGCAATTCCCGCAATCAATAAAGATATAGCAATGACAATTTGGCGGTGTATCAATTTTCCTGAGAAAAATCCACTCCCACATCGACCAATTATCTCCCCCACCATGTAAATGGATACCAAAAGCGCGGCCTTATCACTTGGAATCCCACAATCCTCTGCAACATCCGGAAGGTATACCACAGTTACAACCACTGGAACCCCTAATGTAAATCCCAGTGCGAAGAAGATATATTGAGCATTTCTAAAGATAGAAGCATTGAAAAAATTTCTTATTTTTTTCTCTTCTTTTTGATATTCTAAATTTGCTTTTGCATCCTCGTGATTGGTATATCCATTTGTTGGCTGTCCATTTAGATGATTTCCATTCAATAATAAGCTATCTGATTTTCTGCCTTTAGCTAAACTAAAAATGGACCCTTTTCCATAAGGTACAATCATAATCATATCGGCACTTCCGTATAACTTTTCTTTCTGTTTAAGATCATGGTCACAAATACTTCTATTCGAGTAATAATGTATACCATTAGAAATTTTCGGAGCATCGTAACTATGTACACTAATTGCATCTTTCGGTTTCATGGACGAAAGCAATCTAATGGATGAATAAACGGAAGAATGATGCGTACCATTCAAAATGGAGGGATTTTCGGTCACACTAACGCCTGGATTTTCATTTAAGACATCCCTATTAGGTTTTCTGACCAAAGGTGAAGTTGCGGATGTTTCTTTATTATTTTCGTCTCGCAATTTCTTCTGATGGGACCACTTTTCGTATAATTCAGGTGGACGAAGCAACATCCCTGCAGGAACGATGTGGAAAGCCAATCCCGCCAAAATTAACAGAGCTCCCTTCAAAACAAAAGCATCGATGAAATATCTGAATGCAGGGGCAAAAACTAGTGCACCAAAACTAGCAGCACCTGTATATAGTCCGTTGGCTATTCCTCGTCTAGTATCAAAATATTGACCAGTAATGATAAGTGATGGACCCAACACTGCTGCAAAACCGAATCCTGAAAAAGACAGACGAATATAGAAATGTAAGTTAATGTAAGTAAGAGAATCTGAGTTAAAACTCAATGTCTTCCTCTCTACCTACCAATTAGTACACTGTGTGTGAAAATCAGATGAGTGACATTTTTGGCAAATGTGCTCAGTATGAGAGACGTTGTCACGAAGAATCCTCCAATGACGACACACTGTCGACTGCTGAAGTATTTCATTCCCCCAGTCATTAGAAGTAAGCCTGTAGATAGAGCAATGGACTAGAAAACTGACACATTTGTACAGGACCCAGATATATATGCTTATGTTTAGAAGACCTTTTGATGTTGTCTTTTGAAAAAGTGATCTTAGAATTTAATTGTATATATGATATGTTGAAATATACTCATTTCGTATGCTAAAAATTGTCTTTAAAATGTGAAAATAAACCATTTTGAAATATGAATGAATGAATTCATAGTCTGTGTCATCCTCTTAACACTTTTTACCTCATGGTAAATATTCAATAACTGTGTAATTTCACTGCATTGGGTGAATAATTAACATCTTGAAAAAATGTCTTTATTTATGGAGTATACAAGACACAGACGTCGGAAGAAAATTGAAACCCTAACCCTGACCCTGATTGAAGAGAAAAATAAATATTCAAACCTGAAAAAAAAACTTGACAAAAATAACCCCAATGTTCAATACCTATTATATATATATCTTTGCAAAAAAAAGTGTGTGGGGAAGCCCCCCCCCCCCCCCCCGGTTCCGACGCCTATGCAAGAAGATTTCACGTTGAAAAAATATCTTAGTAAACAATGTATATAGACTTTGACAAATCTTTAGGCGTATTTTCCAGACCTTCCCATGTATATAGTACATATGAAGATGTTTATGTAATAAATTGAGTACCTTTTCACCTAAAGACTATATTAGGTGGAGAATCATGAAAGACACACCTATACAGAGATGACATAATTCGGACGTTTTGTATCCTTCAAACTTCATTTGAATCATGTGATGCAGAACGATTCGCGAGAAAAAGAGATTTTAGGGTCAATTTGTCCTTTATAAAATGTTGAAATTATCTCTGTATATCTATTGTATACTGAGTATAGGTAAAAGCCTTGGAGAAGACATTACAAAAACATTCAATATCATTGGCCTGTCTTATCGTAGGTAGAACTTAAATGTCTTTTTCGGGATTTGGTATTTATTTTTTGACATATTGCATAAACAGAGCTTGATAATTATCAAAATTTCTGCACATAAAATCTTATTTAATCTTTTCCTTTCTTATTCGTATCATGAATGTAGCATATATTTAAAATAAAAACAAAGTATGTTTTTTCCTAATTATAGCAGTCCAAGAAGTTTTATATAGCAGATTTGCAGAGAGTTGCACACTCTCCTTCAGATTTCAATGTCAAATCTGATCAGTTGTCGTGGCTATCATTATTCATGTACATACTTCGTGTTCCTACATTTTGGGTCACAGTACTGAGAATATTCGTGTCAGACACAAATTTCACCTCAAACGGAGATAATGAAACCTCTGCTTAAATACCTCACCAAACTGGTTGCACGAAAAGATAAAGATTAACCTAGGCTAGCTCTCTTGATTGAGATATATCAATTAATGCAATGTTATTACTGTTGACATGTTCCAATTATTATTCTATAGCATTCTGAGAGTGTTTCATGGATTGATTGTATGTTGTTTTACGTCCCATTCGAGAATTTTTCACACTCATATAGAGACGTCATGGACAGAGTGTTTCAAAAGCAATTCTAGTCCCCTTCATGCGCGGTAGACTGGTAATGCCTGTCTCTAACGTGTATATCGCGCATATCAGGCAGATAAAGCCAGTCTACATGTATGGGTGGTCCGGTACAGACTGTTAGACTAAAGGTCGTAATTCCATTAAAAAAATCATCAAAAAAGAATAAAATTCAATTGTGATCTGTAACCATTTACGTACACTCACATGCAGAATATCAACTCATTATCAGCAAGGGTTTAGAAAAAAGTCCAGAAAACCAAGTGGAACTAATTGACATACAGAGGGACAGAGAGAAAGACCCCTCCAGTTTCACCGGTAAGAGGCTAATAAGATAAGTTAAATCAATCTCTAGCTATTTTATATTTAAACTCTAATTGTTTTTACCGGCGACACTCATCACTGCAATCTGCACACTGACCACGATTGACATACTGGCGGAGGAGGAATCAAATTTCTTCCGGAACTCCACGAACAGAATTCCGAACCCGCGATGTATCCCTCCGTAGATCAGCATTGCACAAAGAGAAGCTGAAAATTTATTCGAATGAAATATTATTAACTGTTTGTGATAAACTATATATTTTAATTTGGAAATTTTTTGAATTCGTATTTAAAACTAAACATAGTAAATTTGTATTAAATGTTACAAATTATAGTAATATTAGCAATCATGGCCTTCGTATTACTTCAATTTCCGACAAGGTCGCTGAATGTTTTGATGTTGAATAACTTATGAATATTCATAACATATTGAAAAGGACACAGTTATACTTCAAAGTCAATGATCAATACTTTTTCCGCAACGTAAATGAATATAGGTCATAGATGCAACCTGCCGAGACGACTGATTCACTGTAATTTAATTTTATTAGATTTGAGCACATTAAAATCTTTGTTTTAACTTTTCAACAATTTAACAATGTAGGTTAAATCTGATGCTATATACGGTAAATATGTACGAAAATTGTAAACAACATTTAATTTGACATGCACACTAGGCAAAACGAGAGCTAACACATTTCTTGAACATGCTGAATAGCATAGTGTTAGAAATCTTACAAAATTTGACTTACCAGATAAAATGACCCAAGACCACCCTTTATCGACGGGATGAGCGGGTGCATCGTCTGCATCCTCACGTTCTGTTCCCATCGTTGCGGTTGATTTGTGGCCTGAGCAGACGACAAAAGTTACTTATGTGATTCTTATCAAAATCACATACAATCATGTACAAGTACGTCGCGTGGCAAGTGATGATGTTGATAACAAACTGTACTGCATGGTTGTCAATCTTCCACGTGTATAGAAACGGAGAAATCTTCAGCGGAAAGGATTATCTTTAAATATACACATCCAGCATGTCGATACACAATTCTGTAACAACTTTAAATGAGAGAGTGACGGTAGACTAAGTATTTAAAAAAGCAAAGCGTCCGTAAACATACATGAAACCACAATGTTGACACTACTCAACAAATAATTTTCTTTGAATCCAGTACCAGCACCGAAAAAAGCTGAGGATTCTTTGAATTATGTGAAGCCTTCATTTGTTTAAAACAGTCTAATGATTTCCAATTTCCTTTTATGTGATTAAAATATGAAATCCATTCTAATTGATACAGAAAATCTGGAAAGAAAAATACTTTATGATAAATGTGCAGCAGTAGCTTCCAGAAGACATTAGTTTTCAATATACTCCATTTTGAATTAGTGAAAGATTCTGGATCTAGAATATTCTTTCATGCTGAGGTTGGAGAGGTTAATGACAGAACAGTTGTTTGTTTATTGAAGTCTGGGCGTGGATTCAAATGTTTTACTTACAAAAGTGTACACTCTATCCAAGGAATTTTTTAAAGCAAGGGAATGAAAATAAAGCATGGAAATAATTTGCATCATATGCTGTCAGTGTGATGAATTTTCAACTAAATACTTTCATTTTAAATTAATTTAATTTAAATATACAATTTTTAAAATCTAGGTTAATTTCAAAACAAAATTAATTGTTAGTTAACTATCGATTAAACAAAGAGACATTGTGTAGCTCCAAATAACTCTGTTGATAGAAATTTGTCAGCATGTCTAGGCATTCTGGTCTAGTCAACATTGAGTCTTCCTAAAAGTTCATTATCAGGGTGATACCGTGCCCTGTAAGCTTGGTTAAGAGAGAACGATCATAAAGCTCGTTCCATAAAAATACTGCATTCTTGAAAATATGGACATCTTTCAGATTATTTAAGACTCTCATCACCGTTAACTGGATCTTCGTTTAAGCATTATATCTCTGATGTATATGAAATGGACTTCAAATAAATTCACGGAAATTATAAACTGAACAGTAAATCTATTTTACCTCTACCATAGCAACATTTGCAGAAATTTTATTTCATTTTAGCAATCACAGCATTTTGAATATTAGTGTACCTTCACATGATTGAGGAACGTTAACCTTATGATTTTACAAGCGTGGAGAACATATACCCGCTCAACACAAATATTTTTAACACCTGATTAAATATTCAACCTAGTCGCCCGCGTGGCGCAGTGGTTAGAGCGTCTGCTCTAGAGTCGCGAGGTAAGGAGTTGATCCTTACGTCGCGGGTTCGAATCCCACTGTGGGACGTGGAGACCGGTCCTTCGGATGAGACCGTATAAACCGAGGTCCCGTGTCGCAGTAGGTGTTGGCACGAAAAAGACCCCTCACTGCTCAGTGGCCGTAAGTGCCGAGCATAGGACAAAATTTGCAGCTTTCCACCGGCAAGTGGTGGCGTCTCCATATGAGTGAAAAATTCTCGAGAGGGACGTTAAACAACAAACAAACAAACAATATTCAACCTAATTCTATTTAATGGGTTGTGTTAATAAAAGAAGACTTAAAAAGAAATTAATCCTCCTGACTTCTATTGCAAAGTCTGCTCTTGAGTTTAATTTTTGTTTTCTTTTATAAAGTTGATATGGTTTGAGTTATCCTTGCACTTTTCCTCTATTTTTCTTAACATACTTTGTGCTAATTGATAATATAATAGATAAATAATCAATTTAAACTACATATATATTTCTTACGTAAGATTCCTTACATCGTATAGTCCCTAGGGATTCTCAAAAATGTATGTTGAGGTCAGGTAATAACCCATGAATTGTAAATATATTGTAACTGGTATTCTAGTTCACTCGTGAAAAACGGAAGAAGGAAGAAAATAATAGGTTTGTAGAGTTCACCAGCATATTACGAATTCTTGTTTGAGTGTAAATACATGTTTTATACTTGCAGTATTTCCCCTTAGACCACATTGGATTCAGTAATACATATTAAAAGATTTCAGAGTATATCACCATTCTTTTAAAGTGATGGACCGAGAAGTTACTAATGAAGAATGGAAAGATCCGAGGATTTCCGCTTGAAATTTGCCTTTCTTTATGCCTCTCAATAATTTTTGTGTAGATGGTCTTTGAGTGTAAAGTAAAGAAATCAACTTCTTTGTATTTACTCTAAGCAATATTCAAATACTCGAAAATTAAGCCAGTACAGGTTTGTTTTTTTTCTTTCTGACTTTAACATGCTCATATCGATTAAAATGATTATGTAATTATGCGACTGAATGCATGATTTGAGATTGAAAGCCATCAAAATCATACTTAACAACATTTCCGAACTTACTAGTATTTCTTAAGCACCTGAAAATAATTACAAATTGCATATTCAATTGTAACAATACAAAGACGAGAAATTGGCAATCTCTTTAGCATATTCATCGTTGCTTGGACAGAGACTTGAAACTGCCCTTATGAATTAGCACTCTGAGAGTGATTTGAAACTGTCTCTTTGATTAAGTACACTTACTGAGAGTGCCTTGGAACTGTTTATCCACTGCTAACTGATCTAGTATATTAAGTGTTACACTGACAGTGATTTGAAACAATATAATTTACTGAATTCATGTCTTTAAGTAAATAGACAGTTACAACTTACTGACAATTTCTCATGGTGTATGTACTTTATTAATTGGACAGTTTCAATTCATGTTAGTGTTAAAGTCATTTTTTTTTAATTAGGAAGATAATGTTAGAAAGAACGTGCTAAATCAGGCCTCGGGGTCATGGCACATCTCAAGCTTAAGTCAAAATCTGTATATTGCGCTGAAATCAATTTGACGCCAAACAGTCCAAATGAATATGTTATTCAACATTGCATCACCAAACTGCTGTTGTATGCAAATTAAAGAGTTCACAAGTAGTAAGCATTTTTGAAATGATTGAATTTGACTTAAGTCTAAGTCTGTTTCATGATCCCAGGACCAAGTGATTAATTTCCAATCACTGTCAGTGTCAAAGATGGTGTTCTAAATTAGGCAGACACTTTGAAGTCACCTTTAGAGTTACTGGGAATATTCTTAATCATATGGACTATTTCATGCATAGTAAGTGTTTCACTAAGTTTGCGAAATCAAATAAATTCTTTCAAGTCAATGTCAATGAACATGCTTAATCAAATGGACATTTCTACGATGGCCGATATCACAGGCACTTGAGGTCTGGACCCCCCCTTCCATTTTTTTTCTTTTGAAATATGGGGTCGAGTCACCTTTTTCCTATTTTTGTATTCTAATATGCACTATATGTTATCAATAATGTAACTCTTTTGTCTCTATATGCTGTTTTTAAATATACCGTTTTCGACTGATACATAAAAAGAGAGAAGGCTTGCAACTCTTTTCTCATCGTCTGCCTCACCTCGCTTAAACTTCGCCTGATTATTTATCGAAAGAATAAGAAAACATGGAATATGCATACATCAATAAATTCGTTATACATTCTTCTTCCTTTTCCTATTTTCATTTAATTTTTATGTGCCCCCGATTTGTAAATATTTCGATTAAATCAACCGCATCTAGGGTAAATTTTGTTGATGTGCACTAGCTGGGACGGAAGTGTCCGGTATTTTCGGGCGTCATCATTAAGTGTAATGTTATTCGGAACATTAAATGAAAGAGGGAAAAATTCCCGAATTTTCTCTTCATAATATATGTAACGGTAAGTTCTGTGAATAACAAGATAACTCCAACTAGCAGATTCTAATGGATGAAGATTAACATTTAACATACGACTTAGACAACCAAATTTCTCAATATTTTTATTACAAAGCTTGGAATTTTTATTTAATACAGAACATTTGTAAAGTTAGAGTTACCGTTCTTGCACTTCCGTCCCAGCTGGTGCACATCATTGCTCTTACTTTTTATCTGTACATGCTAAATATTGTCCCAGAAAAGCAAATAAAAAAGTGGGCGCATAAAACACTCATCCCTTTATTCATTAAAATCTCTGGTCATATTGACATAAAAGCGCTAAGAAATCATTGTAGAAGCAATTTTATTTGGTATCTTTTCATTCTTCTTATATATACCGGTAAATAATTGGTAATAAATTTTAACTTGTAATAAACCGTGGTTTGTTGTAAAATGTGCTATATATATATATATATATATATATATATATATATATATATATATATATATATATATATATATATATATATATATATATATATACTTTTTTACAGTGAAATTCTTCCCCGCGAGTAGCAATTTTATTTGGTATCTTTTCATTCTTCTTATATATACCGGTAAATAATTGGTAATAAATTTTAACTTGTAATAAACCGTGGTTTGTTGTAAAATGTGCTTTTTATATATATATATATATATATATATATATATATATATATATATATATATATATATATATATATATATATATATATATATATATATATATATATACTTTTTTACAGTGAAATTCTTCCCCGCGAGTAGTACGGATTTATTCATATTTAATAGCCTTTGCCAACTATAGGGATTTCAAATAAAAGGGAATGAGTTTTTAGCGCCCACTTTTTGACATTGACCTTTTTGCTGTTTTTCACATGTACAGACAAAATGTATCAGCAAAACGTGTGCAATGCCAGTGTAATAATGTACATGTCAATGTTCATTTTAAAAGTTCAGATTTCAATGTCAACAGAGTACACACAGACTGATACTGAGTAGCGTTTATAACCAACTACTGGCACTGTTAATGTACATATGCTAATTCAGATTAACATATACAGTGTCCCTAAAATTGTTTTTGCTACAATAAATACAAGTTGTATGTAATTTTGCGTCTATAAGAATTTTTAAAAATAATTGACAATGAATTTGTTGGAGAATGACCTGAATCAAACCAGATTTAATTTTATGTACATATACTTACATACATACATACATACATACATACATACATACATATATATATATATATATATATATATATATATATATATATATATATATATATATATATATATATATATATATATATTTACTAGTATATGTAATCTAGACGTTTTTCTACAAGAAGAGTTGTTACCCTTGGAACACAATTATATCTATCATATTATCTGTTTCGTTTATTCATTTCTTATTATGAATATTTTATCATACATGAAAGTAAATACATTCAGCCAAATGATACAGATTGTATAGAATTCAGCATTTGCCGACTTGTATATACTTATTTCATTAATTTATATTTATTTTTGTCATTGATAGAAGAGAATAAAAGCAATCTTTTCCTTGTTGGTCAATTTCAGTACATCTGACAATAAGGACTGAACAAAGTAACAAGAGCTGGAATTTATTATGTAACGATTTAGTCACAGGCACTTGGGGTCTGGACCCCCCCCCCCTTCCATTTTTTTTTCTTTTGAAATATGGGATCGAGTCACCTTTTTCCTATTTTTGTATTCTAATATGCACTATATGTTATCAATAATGTAACTCTTTTGTCTCTATATGCTGTTTTTAAATATACCGTTTTCGACTGATACATAAAAAGAGAGAAGGCTTGCAACTCTTTTCTCATCGTCTGCCTCACCTCGCTTAAACTTCGCCTGATTATTTATCGAAAGAATAAGAAAACATGGAATATGCATACATCAATAAATTCGTTATACATTCTTCTTCCTTTTCCTATTTTCATTTAATTTTTATGTGCCCCCGATTTGTAAATATTTCGATTAAATCAACCGCATCTAGGGTAAATTTTGTTGATGTGCACCAGCTGGGACGGAAGTGCAAGAACGGTAACTCTAACTTTACAAATGTTCTGTATTAAATAAAAATTCCAAGCTTTGTAATAAAAATATTGAGAAATTTGGTTGTCTAAGTCGTATGTTAAATGTTAATCTTCATCCATTAGAATCTGCTAGTTGGAGTTATCTTGTTATTCACAGAACTTACCGTTACATATATTATGAAGAGAAAATTCGGGAATTTTTCCCTCTTTCATTTAATGTTCCGAATAACATTACACTTAATGATGACGCCCGAAAATACCGGACACTTCCGTCCCAGCTAGTGCACATCAACAAAATTTACCCTAGATGCGGTTGATTTAATCGAAATATTTACAAATCGGGGGCACATAAAAATTAAATGAAAATAGGAAAAGGAAGAAGAATGTATAACGAATTTATTGATGTATGCATATTCCATGTTTTCTTATTCTTTCGATAAATAATCAGGCGAAGTTTAAGCGAGGTGAGGCAGACGATGAGAAAAGAGTTGCAAGCCTTCTCTCTTTTTATGTATCAGTCGAAAACGGTATATTTAAAAACAGCATATAGAGACAAAAGAGTTACATTATTGATAACATATAGTGCATATTAGAATACAAAAATAGGAAAAAGGTGACTCGACCCCATATTTCAAAAGAAAAAAATGGAAGGGGGGGGGGGGTCCAGACCCCAAGTGCCTGTGGATTTAGTGACTATGCTGTTGCTAATACAAAGTATATTTATTGCACGACAATATAACAATGTCTTCCGCGACTAATCCTCAAATGTGACATAAAACTGTTTTTCCCTTGACTTTCTCATTTTGCTTTACATGGCTTTAAATGATGTTTACTGTATGATAATTTCGTGACTTTCCAGTTCGCCTGTCTCTAGATCTGGCTGGAAGACTTCTCTTCGATGTTTTTTCAAACATACACGTGATATCATGACAACAAAACCCGAAGCTATGGCTAAAGATCCAAGGAAATGAAATGGAATGGAATAACTCCCCGATGAATCTCTTAAGATTCCTGCAAATAAAAATTGTCATGATGCAGTTTTTTAAAATTGGACTTGGTTTCTTTTTCAAGTACAAAAATATGCTTAAATATTTCAATAGCATAAACAGTACATATGTACATACATTATAAATATGTTGATTAAGAAATAAAAATAAAGAAAAAGTTATTTCCCATAACAGTGGACGTGCTTTACCGTATTCATAATACAAATATACTACTATATTATGGCAATGGTCTACTGGATAAAAACCCACATAAAATGAACTTTGCGTTAGATTTCCTTTTAAACCTTATGAACGTAAAGCTCACCTGTAACTGGTATGACTACGGTCCACGATAGACCTTGAGCAATATGTAGTACACAACCTCCACTAGAAATTTCATTATGATGCACAGACCTCTGAATCACATTGGCATAAAGCGAATTGATAGGTCCACCACACACACCGATCACTAATGAAAAAATAAGGAGGAGAAAGAAGTTAACAAAATATTGCAGAAGATTCTGGAAGATTCCTACTACAAGTAATGACGTAGCTATAATGAAGAAATCGTCTATGTGTCGATATGATAAAAACACCCCTCCTGCTCTTCCAAGTATCTCTCCAATCATATATATACTGATTAAACTTGCAGACTGAATGTCACTTAAATCATTAGAAGTTCCAATGTCTGGAAGAAATAACACAGTTATCACTGTTGAAATTCCCAAAGCAAAGCCTATGGTGAAAATAACAAATGACGTGCTCTTTATTATTGAGCTATTGAAGCACTTGTCAAAGTTTACTACTCCACAATTATTCTTTGTCGTGGAATTTTCAGAGTAAAAAGAAGACTCACTGATATCACTAATGATACTTTTATCACTTTCTGTCCGTTTTCTTGATTTATATCGTTGTTCTAGAAAAGGTGTTGAAATTCCAAACTCATAACTTCCATATAAAGGTTTCCTTTGTAGTTTTGGTTTCTGTTGATTTTTCATTAAGTTATCATTTGATCCTTTACCCTCTTTTTTTGTTTGCTCTGTTTCCATTTTACTGCTTTGCTTTGGAGATTTTTCGGTTTGACTTGTAGCTGTATTTTCCTCATCCATATCGCTCCTGGATATCATTCTTTTAAACATTGCCTGCCTTGCTAAAGGAGAAAAAGTAGAATCTGAAGTTTGAGAACGCGGCCTGAAGGGTTCCATGGTTACTCCATCCCTACCCAGAAGAGAAGCTTTCATTGCCTTTTTCTCAATTTTTCGTTTTAATTTTTCCCACTTTCTATACAGTTCAGGTGGTCGCATCAAAGCGGATGCTATGAGTAAATGGCCAAGAATACCGGCCGTAATAAGTAGGGATCCTTTTAGAAAATATTTGTCAATTAAACTTCTTTGCAACGGTGCAAACAACAGAGCTCCTATACACGAAGATAACTGAATACACCAGGCTGCCACGTTTCTTTTCTCTTGGAAGTATTGTGATACTAGAAGTGTGGATGGTCCTATTACTATTGAAAAGGCAAGGCCTAAAATTAGGAACAACAATAAAAGAATCAGGAAAATAGCATAAAAATCTCTTCTTTGTGTTAGGTCTAGGAAAGTTAATATTAAGTCTTCTGCTATAATATATGATATGAAATGGAATTAATTAGTTAAAACAAACCAATTAAAATTAATTTAATCAGTTAAAACAAATTTTAACTTTGAAATTAAAAAAAAAATATTGTACTGCAAATAATGAATAATAATGGAAATACAAATTATTAAAAACATTTAGAAGAATACATGTAATCAGATATTAATTCTTTTGTCTCTCTTTGTTAAGATGAAAAACAATTAAAAATGACGAGACAAAAATGGTTTTAGTTTTGTTACCTAGAATTAAGCTATATGATATAAATAGAAACCGCCCATCTTTTGCCAGGCTGGAGAAAACAAACGAAAATACAGCTAACACAGTTCCCATAGCTAGGCATTGTCTGGTCGTTAGGAACCGCACACCGTAGGTAAGTGATACCAAACCTTAAAAAAATATCAGCCAAGAATGAAAAATTGGACGTCCGAAAAAATATAACTAAAATATTAACAGCAGTGAAGGAGAAACTTCAGAAGTACTGTACAACAATATATTCGAGAAGTGGTGTAAATCAGATGTGGATACTTAACAAGAGGCCCATGGGCCACATCGCTCACCTGAGCACATTGGCTAGGCAAAAGCACAAATCAGTTCAGTATTGAAAAGATTAAGGGGGAGGGGGGTTGAATTTTAAACTATCTGATGATGCTTCCATGTCAATATAACAAATGGCTTTAAAAAATTTCCATATATTCCTTTGTAAAAATTTGATCCCCCATTGTGGCTCCTCCCTATCCCAGGAATCATCATTTGAACAATCTTGAATCTACCTGAGGATGCGTCCATATCAATATGACTAAACATAGCTTTTCTTCTCTTGAGAAGAAATATTTTTTCTATATGTTCCCCGGGGGTCAAGATTAGAACAAATTTGAATCTACACTATCTGAGGATGCTTCCACATGAGTTTCATCTTTCCTGGCTCTGTGGTTCTTGAGAAGAAGATTTTTTAAAGATGCTATTATTTTTTCACTAATTCTTTATTATCTCCCCTTGAAAGAGGGCGTGGCCCTTCATTTGAACAAACTTGAAACCCCTTCACCCAAGGATACTTTGTGGCAAGTTTGGTTGAAATTGGTCCAGTGGTTCTTGAGAAGAAGTCGAAAATGTTAAAAGTTTACAGACAGACAGACAGACGGACAGACAGACGGACGCCGGACAAAAAGTGATCAGAAAAGCTCACTTGAGCCTTTGGCTCAGGTGAGCTAAAAACTCCAAGTTATTCCAGTGAACTTGAAATAAAAGATACCACAGAGGCTGAAATATCTGTATTTTACTAGAAAAGACGTTAAAGGTAACCTAACAATAAAACTTTATGATAAACGTGGTGACTTCAACTTTTCTATCGTAAACTTTCCTTACTTAAGTAGCAATATACCCTTATCACCGGCATATGGGGTTTATGTCTCCCAGTTGATTCGATATGCAAAAGCATGCTCTAAGTACGAAAAAAATTTCTAAAACGAGACAAGCTATTTTCAACCAAGCTGATACGACCTTGTCAGCAAATACAATCTATCATTAAGTCGAAAGTTGACTGAGGTTTTTCATACAAATGTTAGATAATTAATTACTCATTGAATTGTCTACGGATTTTTCCGTTTTCCCGATCATGACAAGGAGCACACGGCGGGTGTAACCGGTCGGCAGAGGATGCTTACTCCTCCATGGCACCTGATCCCACCATGTTTTAGAGGTCCGTGTTTACTCTGCTCCTGATTTGTATTTTTTCTATAGACCTTTTAGCTTGATTACTGTTCGTTATCTCCATATTTGATTACATATATTTCGATATTTCTCAAGAACAGAAAATTATTCATTTCAAATGACATCACCAGCAGACTAAATAAAAAAATTTATATATTTCATGTGACTTATACCATAGATTACTTAATAAGACTTAATAATTGATCCCTCAAAGTAACAAGTGTTTCGACACTGATTACTTGAACATCACTGATGTTTTAATGAATGAAAATGGCCCGAAAAGATTCTATTCTATAGTAAGTAACTTTCGAAAGGATTCACCCTTTACAAATATATTTCAGGAAAGTTTCCTTTGGTCCTGATTTTAAAAAATATATGAACAGTATAGAACACCTTAACAACCTGTGGTTAATAAATTAGAAATTACAGCTACGGCCCATTACATTACTGATTCAATAAATCTTTCTTTGTTCGAACAATACAAATTTACATAGCCCTTTATGTTTCTAGACGTTATTCGTATTAAAGTCTTAAGTGTAGATTGTAAATCTTTCAATGGGGTCTTTAAAGATAGTTGTTGTATTTGCAGTTATTAATTCGGTTATCTATTGAATTCGCTAGAAGTCGGATGTGAACAAATATACATGTACCTGTTTTCATTCAAAACAGTTAAGATATGATAAGTGTTATTTTACAATAGGACCGTGTACCTGATATGGAGAAAAACTTCAATTTCCCCATGAATGAATTTTTTCAATCTTTCTCTTTTTTGATATAACATCTTACTTTAAAAGATATATATGTATGCAATATATGTACACATAAACATCATTGTATTAAATACGTGGTTTAGACGGATATCTGTCTACATTAGACTTCCGGATATATAGGTTATAACCCAGATTTAACAATTCTTACAACATAGTATACCTCCGATGGTAAACAGAGCGATATGTAGCGCCACCACAAGCGATATTAGGAAGGCAGACATCCGAAATTCAGACTTCATCTCCACAAAAAGCACCCCAAATCCTCTAACCACGCCTCCCCAAAGAAACGTTGCAATCATTGCAGCTGCAAAATTCACCATGCAAAGTTATAAATTTAATTATGTGAAAAAAGTTAGACTTAACTGTTTTTATTTCTGGCCAGTTTTGGTTTGACCTGGTATATCATATATTTGAGGTTTGAGGTCAAATCAAATAGATAAAAAGAAATAAATGACAACCTACCTGCTAGAACTAACCATGACCACCCCTCATCTATGGGCTGGGGAGGGTCTTTGGGGGGTTTTAACTTCACCTCCGGCATTTAATGATCAGCCTGTGATGCTATAATTAAGATCGCCTTTATTTAAAAGATTGTTTATTTTCTCGTCCGACGTAGATGTGAGGTATTTAATCAACAACCAATTGCCGCTATCTATGCCAATGTTATCATTGCTAAACACACAATCCAAAAGTCACAAATCCTGGCAGAAAAATAAAACACAGTAACCTTAATCCGTGTTTTGACTGCAAGTGAATGCATAGTGCATAGTGTTATCCAACGTCGTTTTGGCTCTATATTCTACTTCAGAATGGCGTTTTAAATCGCGATTTCCCGTAATCCGTTATGTGCCCAGTTTATCTAAATCTGGGATCAATGACCGACCGTGTTATCGTGATAGGACTGTGACTGTGGAAAAGGCAACCACTTCGAACGGTGAAAATATAAGTTAATATACCTTGATAAATAATAAAACGTTGCTAACTTCTGAAGAATTTATTCCATTTCAAAAAAAAATATTTCTAAAATCAAAGGAAAATCAATTAAAGAATTCTTTTCTTTTGTAACATTTAAAGGATCCTTTTTCGAATCAAATTTTAATGCACTTCATCGATCTGTGCTCTATCCAATAACAAAAATTTTATGTTCTGTCAATATTGAAAGAAGCCAGAACTTTCATTTCAGTGCAAATAAATTATGGATTAAACTAGCCATGTGGAATAGCTCGTCTTATATGGAAGGCATACGTGTACTGAACGTTATCTCTGGGAATTAAGATAATGTCAAAGTTACATAATATTAAGGGCGTTTTACTCTGACGATAACAATTTCTTCATCAGATATTTCAGTAATCCTAAAAAGGAAACCTATCTTCATATTTCCGATGTATGTGTGTAATGATGAAGTTTTAAAAAATTATGGAAAAAAATGAAGATTAATGGACTGTGTGTGTGTGGAGATTTAAACTTGTATCAAATACAAGAAGCTCACTGAAAAATGGTTTATATGCAAATTATATAATAAGCAAATAACTGTCCTGACAATTTTAAGGATATACATTTCTCTCTATATATAAAAACAAAGCGCTTTGCAATACATGCACATATTAGATATCATTAGTTACGTAGAACCTTAGAGGGGTAATACGGAAAAAGATAGGGTCCACAAAAATGCTTTGGGGATATGCATTTTTTTCAAGAACCTCATCTATTTCCCTATTTTCCTCTAAGTTTCTACATAAAGAATTTTTCCTGTCGAATATTTTTTCTATAAAGTTCATTTTCTCCCAGAGAAGCAGACTGTTCCGTTACAATTGTGATGTCGTCTGATGCCTATGTGACGTCAGTTATTAGGATCCTTGTGAGGTCAAGTGAAAACAGCATGGAATTTGATACTTGGTCAGTAGGTCACTTGGAAGGGGATATTAATTTGATAGTAGGTCAGGTTTGATAGTCGTCAGTAGGTCACGTGGAAGAGGTATGTTAACAACATCATGTCAGTAGGCACCATGACATGGTTAAATACAGCATTCTTTTAGAAAAATGAGATTTTAAAGAATTTTATCAGAGACATGAGACAGAATAATTAAGAATTAAGGTATCAATTTTAAAATCTATCGGGATATAAATACTGGTTGGTCACGTGATGAAATCCCAAATGAAAAAATCCAAAATGAAAAACTTGTATTTATATCCCGATGAATGTTTAAAAATAACACCTTATTACTTATATTTACACTTTCATTCATAAGTCGACTCGATATATCCCAGTGAGCTTGAAATAAATGATACCACAGATTCTGACACATCTAGCTCATATTTAGATATTTTACTAGAAAAAGACGTTAATGGTAACCTAAAAACAAAGCTTTATGATAAATGTGATGACTTCAACTTTTCAATCGTCAACCTCCCTTACTTGTGTAGTAATATACCCTTATCACCTGCATATGGAGTTTATGTCTCTCAGTTGAATCGATACGCAAGAGCATGCTCTACGTATGAACAATTTCTAAAACGAGGCAAGCTATTGACAAACAAGTTAATGAAACAAGGATATCAACAGTCTAGTTTGAAGTCATCTTTTCGCAGGTTTTACGGTCGATACAATGACCTTGTCAGCACATACAACCTATCATTGAGTCAAATGCTGACTGACGTTTTTCATACTAATTGTTAGGCCATTATTTATACACTGAACTGTTTACGGATTTTTCCGGGTTTTTTCCCCGATCATGACAAGGAGCACACGGCGGGTGTGACCGGTCGGCAGGGGATGCTCACTCCTCCATGGCACCTGATCCCACCTCTAAATTTTGAGGTCGTGTTTGCTCTGTTCCAAATTTGAATCGTTTCATTGGACTTTCGAGATTGAATACTGTTCGTTATCTTCATATTTCATTTGTGACTGATATATAACAAATATTTACATATAATCTTAAACCAATGAAATGATTTATGCAGTATGAACACGTCGACCACTTATGACGTCACTGTGCAATTATGTTGATCATTTATGACTTAATGATGAATTTGTGGTCATATTACGATCATGTTTATATATTATATACTGTAAAAGTGGAAACTCTGACGTTGTGGAATCGTTGACGAAAAGGACGTACATCTAATATATGTAATAATCGTCCACTGGTCAATTTTTTCCATATTCTTGTTAGGGAGCATTGTTAAAAAATGTATATTAATCATTGATATTAACAATACATGTGTAAATTTGATCAATTCCGTGTGTTTCTACATTTTTATCAACAACATTTTTTTTACATTCATTTTTTTATTCACTAATATATGAAATAGACTGATCCACTCCTTTATTTCATTAGAACAGAATTAAAAATACTTACATACTTACTTTCTTTTGCTAAACAATTCTTCAAAAACACCCCTGTAATCTTGCATTTCAACAAACATTCCGTATTACTAGCAATTGATGGCTAAATTAATTACATATTGGCAATGCATTGCATCTTTAAAATGCTTGTTTTATTTTATATTAAGGATGATATAATGAATAAAAAGTATCAAAATTGTGAACCTACATGGTAGGTACTGAAGTCTACGGTTGATTTCGTTGGTCATGTATCTTAAATACATTATACATTGTAACTTAATGAAAAAAAATTCCCATATTATCTGAGTTACCCCAGTAAAACTGGTAGCATGATCTTGATAAGCAAAAAAAAAAAAAAAAAAAAAAAAAAAAAAGAAGTACATTTCAAACATAATTCTGGCAAATGTTTTACTTACAAATATTTGGCAATGTACGACATTGTATGCATTCCACCTTCTCGTCAGTAAATGATGTTGCTATACCTTTCATCAGCAGTATATCACGTTCTCAAGAGATTATGATAAAAATAAATGTCGATAACAATGACATTTAGGTATTCTACGTAAACTATATATGTGTGCTCTATTTCAACGTGTTTACATTTTATCATAGAAGTACTTGTACTTTTCGTAAGTTAATAGTAGAAAAAGTTTGCAGTACATTTCAAGTTTTAAGTGCCTAGTCCCCTAATCATGACATGTTGTTTTGGACCATTAGTTTATCAAAGTACTCAGAAAGTACAGAGAGCCGGGCTCATTTATAGAGCAGTGACGTGACCAGTACCGTTTTACATGAAATATACATGAAATAACTGTTTTTATAAGAAGTTCAGAAATATTATTTGGCGATTTATTATTACATGCATTTGAAAAGTTTTTAAAACACAGGGAAAGCAGGTTTTTGATCACCTCTCTGTATAACACTGTATAACCTCAGTTTCAGGTTATAGCATTAAATTACACACATTTCATTTGATTGGAACAACATTCTCCAGATTATTTTGTGCGATATTTTTAACTTACAATTTTCAATACTATCACTTCATTTATCGTCATCTTTGATTATTTTCTCCTTTTATTTTTAAATTTTAAATTAATATGCTTAACATCGCAACATTTACCTAACAAGGTCGGATGCTTGACATAATTACAAGTGCGCATTACTATGCATACTAGCGAGGCAGTGAAGTTTTCCATCATTCTATAAATAGAGGTTGTCACGATCTTGATTGTGTGTCGCACGTGGCCTGTGTGTACAGGTTACGTTCACTCTCACGAAGATATTAACTTTCCTTAAAATATTGTCTAACATGAGAAAAACTAAATTTCTGATCTTTGAAAATTTAGAAAAGTTTAACCCAGCGTCATTAACATGATTTTTTTGAGAACGGGAACTGATGTAATTTGAAAGGCGTAATGTTTATATTGGTGGTTGTTTGGTTACCATCCGGTGATTAATCCGCGCAGATCGGCGATCCCGTAAGTTGGGCCATAGCTTACGGGAGCCCGGCTAAAAATGAACCACTAGTTTATATTTTGATAGTGAATCTTTGATCGTCAAATATGGAATTTAGATCTTTAGACCTGTTTACTATGACCTAACTCGGCAGAAATGTTATTTAAACATGATTTCCTTGCATTGTGAGTTTTATTATCAAGAAGTAATTGTCTTACAAGCCCGATCACATTCATACCAACCTACAGTGGCCAGCAACAACATGAGACACGTACAAGACAGACAAGTCAAAAGTTGAAGCAGCAAAGAGTATGACATTTTAAAAGATAAGTAGCTATGTGCATGTTCGCATATAGTACTTCATAACAGCACTCAATAGTATATCGCCAAGAACCTAAATTTAATGTACACGTAAAATAAAAACTACAAGCACCATAAACGCAGTAACTTATGTCTAGAAGAGCATCTATATTAAATAATCCTTATCTAATGAGAAGGTCTCATGATTCATGTACGATGTAGTAATGAAACAAGAAATGGTGGTGTATTCGGGGACAAAAGACTAACAACGAAGATAATTTACATATAATAAAACATTTTCTATTCGACAAGTTAATTTAAAACAAAAGACATCATTATCTTTGATATTGGCTTTAAAACGCGCAATTTGATTGGTTGATGAAAATGTTAGCACTCACTCTGAGGTACAACTCAGGAAAAATCGCGTGGACCAATCAGAGGGTGTCAAAATGTCCGAGCATTTAATGATGCAGAATACAAATAGAAGTTGCAGAATACAAGCGAAATAGAGGGATACATATACGAATAGAGAAGGAAGAATGTATACATTAAATTATACAATACAAAAGTAAACATACCAATGGAATTTTTTTTCAATCGAAATGGAAAATATATCATAGTTTGACATGCCATTCATCAAAAGTACTTCATATATATTTTATTGATCTATATAATATTCAAAGTAAGAAGAAACATATGTCAAAAAATGTACGAAATTTTTCAGGAAAGCCCATTGTTTTCTTGAATGAATGGAATTAATATAATTTCAGCAATAAATAATTTCTTTTTACAGATTTGTTTTTTACAACTCACTTGTTTTCCTCTCTCATATGAATTTTTATTTTTTTAATCACAAATAGATGGAACAAGTGGTGAAAAAGTTTCAACCGGGACTCGAACCCAGGTCTTCTGGCTAGCATGCCAACGCTCCAACTGAGCTATTGGGGCCTGATTTGGTGACTACTTTTCAAACACCTATTAACTTCGTAACTTATATTCTATGGAATAATTTAAAATGCACAAAGCTTTGTAATTTGTGCCACAATGTATTTCAGCCTTTTATATTGTATTTCATTTCTATCCTTTAAAGATTTCATACAGATAAAAAATTAGAATATTCTTATAAGTCAGTAAAAATGAGGACCCAAGAACAATACATAATGTTATATTTTATTTAAGATAAAATAATACAATTTTTAATAGTTTATTCATAAATGTTTTCTTAAATATGTTGAATAATTTTCTATATATTCTAGAGCACTCTCGTAATAGAAAAACAAAACAAATCCATGTTCTAGTCCGTCCATATGCTCATGGTCAACATTTAATCCCAAAGACTTCATTCTCTTAGCTAGCAGAAATCCATCGTCCCGAAGAGCGTCAAAATCAGCCGTCATGAGGTAGGTTTTAGGTAACTTCCTAAGATCATCATCGGCGGCTAATAATGGCGAGAAGTACGGATTGAGAAAGACACTGGTATCAACATCTGATTTGGATGTGGGCAAAGACCTTTTCACAGGTGCAACAGTCTTTTGAAATTTAGATGGCAACATTTTAACATTGATATACTTGGAGTATTGAGCTTTGTCTGCTTCTGATATGTGGGTGTTTTCTAACATAGCACTAGTTAACGGTTCATGTCCAAAGGCATACAGTTGCATGCAGTGGATAAGGGTATCCTTCATGCAAAATGACGTACTTCGACGATTTGGATTTTCTAGATATGACGGGAGATTCAGATCGACGGCCTGTAGTGTAGGATACATCAAACTGAGTAGTTTTAACTTCTGGGTGTCCTCTTTCAGGAGTCGAAGGGCAGTCGCCATAGCAAGGTTTCCTCCAGCGCTGTCCCCTGTAAACAGATTAAGCTGTACATATACAAGTATAGTATGCATGTAGCACCAAGTAATATTAAATAGATACACCAACAGATAGAACAAGCAGTCACAGTATAGATTGATTGATTGATTGTAATTTAACGTCCATTGCAAAATGTTTCACTCATAAGAGACGTCCCTGCCGTTTAACACTGTGAAAGGGGGTTTAGAAAATTGTCTATTCAATACCAAAGAAATGGATAACTCTGTTATAATATGAACAAAAATGCAATGTCAAATTTATGCTTCAAACAAACTTTTAAAGACGACCGGAACAGATTCTGGTTTCATCAACTTATTTGTCAATAGCTTGCCTTGTTTTAGAAATTATTCGTACGTAGAGATTAAATGCTCTTGCGTATCGAACCAACTGAGAGACATAAACTCTATATGCTGGTGATAATGGTATATTGCTACATATTGCTACAGGAAGTTGACGATAGAATAATAGACGTAATCACGTTTATCATAAAGTTTTGCTGTTAGGTTACAATTAACGTCTTTAACTAGTAAAATACATGTATTTAAATTTGAATCAGGTGTGTCAGACTCTGTGGTATCTTTTATTTCGAGTTCAAAGGGATATATCCAATAGTAAGAGTGAAAATGAATATTGTTAATTGATAAAATCTCGTCGATATATCTATATGTTGAACTGAAGGCCATAAAAAGAGCCTTCTTTTTTCCCTATATATTCTTTTTAAAAACCCTTTCCCTACTGTTGCCCTACCCTTCACATGGGGACCATGATCTGAACAAACATGATTCTACTCTATGCCAGAAAGCTTTTGTATATTAAGTTTCATCTTTCTGGTATATGGTTCTTCTTCAGATTTTTTTTAGACATCTTTGGGGGGGGGGGGTTTGTCTTTTTGTGATAATTTCCCTTTGTTCAAGGATACATTAAGCCAGATTCAGTTAAAATTGGTTCAGTGGATCTTGAGAAGATGAAAATATGACACGTTTACGACGACAACCTCGACGACGAAAACGGCTGACAACACACAAATTTCGATAATAAAAAAAAATATTTGAGTCTTTGGCCTAAAAAAGTCATGTGTGTATATCCCAAACTACACTTGACATCAGTATTATTAACTGAATGTATAATGCTGCTAGGATTAAGATCACTGATCTATCGTATTCATAGTTATCTCACTTTGAATGTGAAGTACTGGATTAGTGAAAGCTGATAATACTTAAACTTCATTCCCAAGTCAAGATTTTCTGTCTACGGTCAATGGCTTACGTATTAAGTAACAGTTATAACTTTACTACTGTATTAATGTAGTATTATAGTATCCTCCTGCACATAGAAATAGTCAAATTCTGTAAAACAACCTAAATAACTCAGATATGAATAATTCTGCAACCCGTTATTGTTATATATTACATGTATTTATTCTTTGAATTCAATTCTAATTATCAAGTAACATGTTTCCCAGCCTTTTTTTCATCCAAGAAAAATCACATTAAAACATTTAAAAAAAAACTAATCAACAATAATTCTTAAAACTTTTACAGAAATGATGCATATCTTATTTCCCACGTTATTTTGTTTTTCCATTTAATTTGTCTCATGGAGTTTTGGTATCATTCCCAAAATAACGTTTGATCCACAAAATAAGAGTCATCTGGAGAGAATGGCCGTGTAATGTGAGGATTGTATTGAGATGTAACAATGTTTTAAATATTCTTCGGGACTTTTTTTGTCTTGTGTTCAAATATCTTAAACCGTTCATGGTAGTTCAGTCGGTAGAGCGCTCGCTCCGTGATCGGGAGATGGTGAGTTCGAATCTCGGCCGCGACTGACCTAAGTCGAAAAAAATGGGTAGCAACTGTTCCTTCGCCATGCGCTCGGCACTTTGAAGTGAAAGTTGCGGGTCCTTCGGATGAGACCTTCAAAACTGAGACCGTTAAAGATCCCTCACTGCTCAATGGCCCTGAGTGCCGAGTAAAGGTCAAAATTTGAAGCCCTTCATCGATATATGGTGACGTCTTTATATGAGTGAAAAATTCTCGAATGGGACGTAAAACAACATACAATATATCAAACAAATATCTTAAAAACGAAACCAAAGTGTTCGGAAGACAAAGAGGGTTTGAAAACTCCTGCAATAATTTTCAAACTTCATTATTATTATTTTTTATTAGTTATTTGTATCTAATCTGTAGTAAACATTTACCTGTCAAACCAACTCTTGTCGGGTTCACTTTGTATTTTGCTGCATTTTTCAAGAAATATTTTACAGCTTTTACACAGTCATCAAGAGGGACTGGAAATGGGTACTCAGGTGCGCGTCTGTACCTATAGCAATGTTAAAGAAGTCATAAAACATGTTAAATAGGACAACGGGGGAGATGAATGAGTTATATTGATTGTGTTTTATTACTCAATGAAATATATATCAGGTGTTGTCCCTGGTGTTGAATATCGTTAACAAAATAAGAAATGGATTTATTAAACGAGTTGCTGTGAGAAGCAAAATAAACACATACTCTATTGACACCACCACCAGATTTGCATGCTTTGCAACCCGTTGACAGAATGCATCGTAATCATCTAAATAGAAAGAAAGGAAGAAAGTGAGTTCTCTATTGCATTCGCACTAAAAGGATATTATCTTCACACAATGAACATACCCACGTCTAGATACGCCCATCCACCACCATGAATGTTGATTAGAGCAGGTGAAGACTCTGAAGAGAGACCTTTAGGTGTATAAACCCGGACTTGGACTCCGTCAAAATAATCATCTCGTATCTAGAAAGTGTCAATTAACTTCATAATTAAAGGTTGTTGTAAAGGTAAACAGATTTTTAATGCAGACCTATTAAGGAGTCATATCTATAAAATTCACTATTATACTGATTGGAGAGAAGATAAATTTTAATGTGTGTGTGTGAGAGTATGTGTGACTATGTGTGTGCGTGTAAAAATGTCTATAGTCTATTCACCTGTCTTTTTGGCAATCTATGGTTGGTAGTAAATAATTTTTTAAAATACTACACTATGATTGTCTTGCAACTGAATATTTGAATAGAACATATTTGATTCTCAGTTTTTAAAAGATGTGTTTGTGAAACACTGATCAATGCCCCATTTGGTAGCTCGTGGCCAAGGTTAAATTTTTTCCAAAGTAGGTCAAGGTCCTGAGATTTAAAATGGTTGTATCATAAGAAATATACATGTGAAATATGAAAACCCTTGCATCAACCGTTCAAAACTTATGGTGAAGGTAAAAGTTTTTCAAAAGTCAAACTCCCCAAGGTCAAAGTCATGAGGTAAAAATTTTGATATTCAAAAAAAGATCTTGTCACAAAGAATACACATCTGGAATTTAAAAAAACCCAACACCAACCATTCAAAAGTTATGGTTAAAGTAAAGTTGCAGACAGCAGAGGGGGCATAAAAATGTTGCGGAAGCAATGTTGTCCAGACAATTCGCTTAATATGGTTCTTTTGAATGGCATACTATCTATTTCAGCTCCGAATTAAATATTACCTGCAGCGACCCATCATTAGGTTCTCGTGAAAATATTTTGTTTGCGGCAGAGACGTGTCTGGTGATGTTGACGTCTGATCCTAAACCGAGGCTGCTTCCAATGCCAGCCTATAAATTCATATAACGCTACTTGTACATAACATTAGGTAGAGTGTAATATCGATTTAAATGCTGGTATTCGTATTTATTTTTTTTAAATGTAATTTAAAGATTTAAAATTTTGTTTAACATTATTTTTAAAGCAAAACAACACCAGAAATTAATGATAATCGCGTGTCTCGCGGACAAGATATTATAAAAGTTTGAGTACTTACAATATCATACATGAGTCTGACCATTGCTCGTGAAAACCTCTGTTTAATTGGATGCTTAGCATTCTCGGGGAAAGGTGTGTAGAGGTAAATGGCCAGCGAGGCCCCAAGTATCAGCCAGACTACAAGGATCCCTATCCTGGAGTCCATTACGTTTGATGTCAATCTCAAATTTTAACGTACGCTGGCTCTTTGCGCTACACTGCCCGCACTTTCAAACAAATGAAAAAAAATCTTAAAGTAAGCATGAGATACAGATAAAATGCTTTATGTACATCTAACAGCTACAGTGTATAATTATAAAATGTGCTTGGTGGATGTAATTTTTTTGCTAACCATTGCAATTCGTGTGTTTATTATGCATATATTTGTTTCCCCAGGATTGAAAACTGAAATATTGTAGTGATTATGAAAGCTACAATTTATATGCACCGTAAAGAAAGCAAAATTCGGAATTCCACGTGAGAATCGAGTCCTTAAAACTCCACATGTATTAGTTAATTAGTTGAATGACCTTTCCTTGACTTGAATATTTTTTTCTGAGAAATTAACATTTTCAGCATTTATCATTGTAATATCCCATGAATTGTTTTTTTTTTAATTTTAAAATCCGAGTAACTGATTTTTGAAAAGGATAATTATGGTTTAAAAACAATACCATACATAAAACAATTATTGTATCGATCTAATTCATCAGAATTAAAAATATTTTTGATATCTTGAAGTACACATTTGTATAATAACTCACTATATGTTTGTTTTCGCATCCTTTTTGAAAGGAGGTTAAATTCAAAGTAGAAATATTACTAGAAACTTTGCATTTGCCAGCAATAGCATATGTCACCCCGAACTGACCAAAACAACACAATATACGAGTTGAGAACAGAGTAAGCAGCTTCATTTTGCAAAATTTCAAATTTTCAGAAATATATGCATTTTTCTTCATTTTAACGACAGACATTTAGGGAATGAAAGCCAGGAACTTGCACTTCAATATTGTGCAGTTTAAAATATATTTAATCAAAAAATCAAATAAATAAGAAATTCCAACTTTTTTTTATTTCCATGGCAACAGTAAAAATGTTTGTGCAATCGATTGCATTTTTTAAAAAACCTGTTTGATTTGGCTAAATTAGAGGAATAAGTGTAGGTAATCAGTCGTATTGATCATTTAAAAGAGATTATTGCTTTATAAATGTTGTACTAGTTTTGTGAGTTTAAATTTTTACAATGGTTTTGTTTTCTCTATCTCTATATAAGACATATAGAACTGCTAAAAGTTTAAACTCATTCATTAAATTACGAAAGCCTGAACATTGTAAACGACAAAACACTATTCACCAGCAATTGGATGTACATAAACCGCTTGACCTTTCCAACGCTTTTGTCAATGACCAGTTTATTTGGAAGACATTTTTAGTTTATGTCTGAAATTTTCTATCTATACAAATCTCTTTATTTACACATGGTACATTGAAAGGTCAATCAATATGAGGCCCCTACATATCTCAATAAAAAGCAATACATACACTCATTTATTTGAATGCCGCTGTACAACATAATAATACTAAAAGCTTCGCCAAATCGCTATAGTACACATAATTACTATGACCTTAATTACAGCTAAACATTAAATGAGTAGGTTTTGCAATGGTAAATAAACACCTCACCTCGATATCCTTATAGTAGTGACTTGTAACATCATGTGATGTTTACCACCTCTACCACGATAAGTATCCCGGCGTCTAACCAGAGTGGTCATAAACTAGAACGTAAACAACGATAAGTACCTAGGTCAGACACTCTGTGAAATTTGAGTTTATTTTCTGCCTTTGGGTGAAATCCAAAGAAAAAAGACCAAACACACATTTTTCAACCTGCACTAAAAGTAAAGGCAAGAATGTTTCTGTTTGACATCAGTTGCTTACCATGTTTGTTCTGTGAAAGAAAAATATACTATGAAATATATTTTATCTTCTAAATACATATTTTAGCTAGTTTTTTGACATGAATAGGGAATAATTCAAGATATAAAGCCAAGTTTAAATACTTTCATGTGTTTTAATTATGAAGTATTGGACTATAAATATTGCACAATTTCGTTACCTTTTGATTACGTATTTTAGAAAGTCTTTTGGGATATAGTGATATTTTCTTTTTTCAAATAAAGTTTTACTTATAAAAATTCTGTAACCTTTTTATCCAATTGTCTATTCTATTGCAACTTCAGGAATTTTAACTAGAATGCATGTACATTATGATGATATAAGTGAAAAATATGTTATGGATAACTGAATTTTTTCAAAAAAATTTCAATTAGGTGGTCACTTCTTTCTGAATACTCTACCTTCCTGATATACACAGGAATACAAGGATATATTAATACATACATATCACCGATAGAAAATGCATCTTTTATATTCTTGATTGAAGATGTCGACACACACGAGCAATTTAATATTGACAGTTTTTCAATGGGACGTTAATACTTTATTGCAGTAGCTGAAATTATTGCTATGATAGGGGGAAAAAACCAAAACAAAACAAAAACAAAAAACAAAAAAAAAAAAAACAGTAAAATATATCCAAAGTTATATTCATATGAACATTTGTTTTTTTTTATTCCTTGTATTGTTCAAGATACCAATTTATTTTTATCGAGAAATTGTCATTCTCGCATAGAAAACTACATAAAGAGGACCCTACTAGTCAGCTTAAACCATACAGTATCTGTCATGTCCTATAAGGTTTCAATATATTCTATCGATTTTGAAAGCAACGCTTCTTAAATCGCATGGAACATTGCAAAATGTGCATCTTTTTATAACAAGGCAGCGAGCGCAATAGACGAACGTGTAAGAATAAAGAATATTTGAACTGAAATCCTGTATATGTACTGTATATTCGTCAAGCAGATTCTGATGTGAAACTTTCCCAGAATTTTTACACTAACAGGCCTGCAGTTATCGTGAAGATTTCTTGTAGAAGCATAAAAATATTAATTGCATATACTGTACAATGCCTTTTGTTTAAAAATGCACTACTTTGACTCTTTGTTATGGAAGTGCAACCAACTTGCGTCGTCATGTGACGTCACAGTCTAGACTGTCTAGTGCGGTTAGAAGTTTGAAGTAATAGTGCAAGCTATGCAAAGCTTTTTTTGATGGTATACAACTGCGCTCCCCCTAGCGGTCGCATCGTTAAGAAATATATAATATACAATTATTTACCCCTTATGAGGTAAACATGGTGAAATAAGGACCCGAGACATGGCTCACGAGCAGCGAGTGGGCCAGGTCGAGGATCCTTATTTCACCATGTTGAACTCATAAGGGGTAATCAATTGTTCTATTATACCGATGTAAGTTGAGACAATTTTTGTAGGCCTAATTACTAAAATAGTTAATTGTGTGTTAGGCTTACAAACTGTTATTACTAGTGCATTTCTTGATCGGGATCGGGATTCGCTAGTGAAGTTGTTTACGTTTTCGCCTGCAAGTCTTGTAAGTTTTTGCACCGCTGATTTATTAAAACACTCTGTGATTATCAGTAACATGCATTTTTATAAATTCACAATTGCCATTCCTGAATACAATGAAAATCTGGCGTAGATTTTTACTGTATAAAAGAGCCGAGTCTGCATTCGTTGAATTTGACATTGTACATGTTGTAACGAAAGTTTCAATGAAAACGATAAATTTTATGACGTATCTACGTCAATCGTATTCTGTATCATAAAGACAATGTATATTTTTATAACGGCATGTTTTTTTTTTTTTAAATGTGCAATCATTATTATATTCATAAATTTTAATTTGAATGGAATTTAGATTAACAGGTCATTTTTAGCGGTCATTATTTAGAATGACCGGGTCATTATACCCCACGTGCAATGATTTCTAGGTCATTATTGTTGTAAACAGCACTTTTTGGAGTCATTATTAAGTTTAAAAGCTTTCTTACAAGCCAATCAAATTTGAGTATTCTCAATAGAGGTATAATATTAATGACTACAGGTGTTTCCTCAGTTATATCCTCATGTTCTTAACTGATCTGCATCTACAGGACTTTAAAGAAAGATAATATGGAAGGGCAATTTTAAAAATATGAATTAGGGATATATTATGAATTTGGAAATCGGATATAAAGAAATACACAAAGATGTAAACTGTAAATATCTGGGTAGGTTGTTCCGAAATTGCTAATGAATTAACGGATATGTTTACACTATATAGAGAGAATGAATTTGTTTGTTACAATCCGGGATTGGGTCTAGTTCACGTTCATCCTGGTGAAGTCATTAAGTTTGTTAATACCATTAGAAAGAAAGAAATTTCTCCGAGACAGTGTTCCGCAGAGCAAGAACAACCGGTCAGAGGTCCGAGTTAACAAAACACGTAAACCCCGCTCGAGACGCTTCAAGCGCTTAACGACAATCGCGAGGGACGGCCATGAAATTCACAGTTTTGGAAGAGGCATCCTTGCATATCATAACAATGTACTTCTTTGTTTAAATAATACCCAGGAGTAGAGAAGAAGATTTTCAAAGAAATAATGCACTTTCACTATATAATCTATATAGCCCCGCCCTAGCACCAGAACCCCTGACCCTGGGGACATGAATTTCACAGTTTTGGTAGAGTCACTCTTGCTTATCATAACTGTGTATTTAATTTGTTTAAATAATACCCAGGAGTAGAGAAGAAGATTTTCAAAGAAATATTGCACTTTCACTGTATGATCTATATAGCCCTGCCCTAACACCAGAACCCCTGACCCTGGGGACATGAATTTCACAATTTTGGTAGAGTCACTCTTGCTTATCATAACTGTGTATTTAATTTGTTTAAATAATACCCAGGAGTAGAGAAGAAGATTTTCGAAGAAATATTGCACTTTCACTATATGATCTATATAGCCCCACCCTAGCACCAGAACCCCGGACCCTCAGAAACTCCTGACGTCTGCCCAGTGCTCAATAAATCTAGTGTTCCTCTCTCCAAATCGGAGACCAGTAGAGAAGATTTTCAAAGAAATATTGCACTTTCACTATATGATCTATATAGCCCCACCCTAGCACCAGAACCCCGGACCCTCAGAAACTCCTGACGTCTGCCCAGTGCTCAATAAATCTAGTGTTCCTCTCTCCAAATCGGAGACCTCACTTCTTTCCAAGGGGCTGAATTTCTGTCCCACGCCA